ATTGGGTGATTTCTTAAGAAATCCAAATTTAAAAAACTTACATTTGGGTTCCCAAAGGATAGAGTATTAAGAGATTGGGGTTGTCAAAATAATTATAACTCTTAATTTCTATTTAGAAAGGCATGAATTTGTAAGAAAATATGATGGATTATAAATAACTAAAGGGAATGTCCTAGGAGGTTAAACTTTAAAAACTTATATTTTATAAAGTATTAAAAGAGTAGGGTTGTCAAAAGAAATGCAACTTTTAACTTCTTTTCACAAGAGTGTGAACTTGTAAGGAAATATGATAAATTATAAATAATTAAAGAGAATGACTTAAAAGATAATTTATAAAAGTTTAAATATAAAGGGAAAGGGCCCATAAATAAAAATACACCTCCTTTTTCAATTAGTTAAAGGTTTTAGGATATTTGGATTTGAGAAGTACAGAGTTGGATGACCTCTTGGAAGTCTAAACTAATGTACCAATAAAAAAAAGTTTTGCAAATGAGGAAAAAAACACTAAAAACCTAAGAATAATAAAGTCCGGGAAATAACAAAAAAAATGGGAAAAAGTAAAAGGCAAAAAGGAAAGATTAAATGGCAGATTGAAGGATTATCCATAATTTATGTTCATGGCAAAGCAACATACTCTTTCTTTACCTATAAAGTAGCAATTGTTACACTTACTTGATGCTATATGGTTGCAACTTACTAATTAGACTAAGTTAATAATAGTATTCATAATATATAATGTAGTTCCAATATTTAGATGGTAAATTCAAGGATAAACATTTACCCCATGAAATTTTTATTTATCTTCAAAGTTATCATTAAACTTTAAATTCTTTATTAGTAAAAATCTATTCAAACTTGTAAACATCGTCTTCCTATAAGATCCAAGAACTAAATTGCACAGCTCATCTTCATTGTAGAATAACATACTCCTTGAGTAATAATTGGTGTAGTTGCTTACAATGTAGTTGTAATTAATTAATAATACTTAGTTGATTTTGGCATTCATAGCATATAGTGTAGCTCTTTCTGCTTTTTCTACCAATGCTTTAGATGGCAAATTGAAAGATGGACACCTACCTCATGAAATCTTTAATTTGTCTCTAAAGTTATCTTCAAATAATCAAATTTTTTGTTAATGGGAATCCACTCAAGCTTGTGAATAATTGTCTTCCTATAAGCTTAATCTTTAAATACTCTCCAAGAATTGAATTGCATTATCTGTGCTTCTCCAATTGACATTATATTAACAGAAGATGGTAAAACACTAAGAATAGAAGTCATGTAATTATACCTCACATAAGTTGAAAGTGGAAACACACCAAAGATTGGAGAAGCATTAATAAGATCATACCTCACATTAGCAAAAAATCAATCTAAAGAGGATATAGTAGTAAAAATAACATTGCCATGTGACAATAATGACATCCATTATAACCTCAAATGATATACCCTTCAATCAATGATGACATAACATGGTGGAAGAAGGGAATGCAATGAAAATTAAAGAAAAAATACAATATTAAATCTAGTGAAAAGAGAATACAAATCTAAATCTAAAAGAGAAGAAAAGAATAAGAACAAAAACATAATCCTGAACACTAAGCAAATCACTAATATAAAAATTTGCCTTCCAAAGATAATTTGCATTGCCCCTCAACTCAAATGTGAATATTCAGGATATGGGAATAAATATGTTAAGGTGTAGACCCCTGCTTATATACATGAATGAATAGACTAAATTCAATTCAATAGATCATCCATATACTATATAATTATAATTAGTATATTATGCTCTCTCTCTCTCTCTCTCTCTTCTCTCTCTCTCCCCCCTACCCCCTTATTTATTAAAATATTATGAATTCATAAAAATCAAATATGCTGCACAGCACAGTAAATTATTTAAGTTATTTGTAATCAATTTTTAATAACTTAGAACTAGTAAACCTATTTACAAAATTAGTTATTTCATTTTAAGATAGAATTTTCAAGCTTTAGTGTGAGAGAAAAACAATTAGTGACTTGCTCTAGAGAAGACAAGAGCACCATCATCAAGTTAATGACATTTGTTCTATTAGTTTACAGAGAAAACTCAAAAGATTACCTGGCAAATTGATGAAGTGAAATCTGGTAATTGTAAGTTAACTGTGGAAGAAGAGTACCTGGACAATAGGTATTTAGAGGTATAGATTGTCATTCTACTTGTATACAATATATAGTGGAACCTTTAAGCATTTTGTTGATACTATTATTGGTGTACTTTTTATAAAAGCTATTTTCAAGAGTATAAAGGTAAAAGAAATATTTATTATTTTTAAACTAATATAAAAATTTATATTGGAAGAAGCGTTTCATATTTTTTTGTCACCACACAATAAGGATAGTGCCTTCTTTCATCAAATAAACTAGCTACAGTAGCTTCCATTTCACTTGCTGCTTTCACAGCTTCGGCTACTTCGGGTGACTTGTCAAATTTGAGGTGTGTATTCAATATAAACAGAGCTTCTCTTGGCAATACTTCCGCTGTTAGTCTCTCCGCCAGCTTGAGACACGTCTCCTTATCAGCTTTCTCTAGGTTGCACCATGCCTCGAATAGCAACGTCACTCCAATATTACACTGCATATCTAGCACACTTCGTAGAGATTCAGGCAAAGGGTAGGAACCTTTGCATGCTAGCTCAAACAACATAACAGCCTCGGCATCCATTATTGGAATCATCTGGGATATGATGTAATCGTTTAACTTGAGCAGACCAGCCTTCAAGCCAGATGCTAAAAGCTCTTTTTTTGCTGAAATATCCCTGCTACAAGTAAATAGTAGTGCTTCAGTTGGATCCACAATCACTTTAGCATGCATGGCTTCTCTTATGATAGAGAATACAACTTCATCACCTGTGGCTGCATCCAAAGCTGATTGATATGCTCGTTCTGGTTCAACCATCTCAAGCAACAAATGGAGAGTTTCTCTCCAGCCATATCTGTCAACTTTGCAACCGCATGTGCTGATCAATAGGTCTGGATCCACCATACCATTTAATGTGAATGCCTCCTTGCAAATCAACTGCTTAATAAACATGGAATTGTCCAGGTTATTATCCAGGACAACTTGGCTGAACTCTTGTTTTGCCACTAACATTGGGTGTTCCCGAATCATGTCAAAGAAGAGACTTTGCATATAACTGCTGTACATCTTCCCCAGATTGCACTTTGATAGCAAGGTAAGCACGTTCAAAAGGACCTTGGGTCCACATTTGTAACCTTTCTTCCTCGTGATGTCCATCTTTTCAATGAGCTGTTCAAGTGACAAGTCGAAGATGTCATAGGGATAACTAAGCACCTCTTCAAACGTGTCTTGATCACAAGTCTCATCCAGAGTGTCCAGAGCTTGCAATGGCAATTTTTCTTTGAGGAACCTCCTTGCCATCCTATTATGCCGTGCGCTTGAAAAACGTCCATGCACTCGAGAACGTTGCCCTATCAATGATTGCATCAATTACCTCGTCTGGGAAGAGATGATGTTCCATGGCAAGCCCATCACAAAACTCTCTACTCAACTCTGCAGTGTTCACTGTCACATACAAAACCAGATCTCCCTTTCCCTGCATCTTCTTTGCTAAACCCTTGAACCAGCCCTTCTTGCTAAACCCTTCTTGCTAAATACCCTTCTTGCTGCTCCAGCTTCGTCCGGACGACACTTCCCCATCAGCGGTGATGAGATTCTCGGCCTCTTTCAACCGCCCAGCTCTTCCAAGAAGATCCACGGTGCAAGCGCGGCGGCCTTCTTGCCCAGGACGCCTCCATCGCTCCCACGCAACCCAGCGCCTCCTCCGTCCAGGAATCCAGATTGCCGGCGCGCAGAGAGAATGCTCAAGAAGGTGATAGCGTTTGGATCGACGCCTTCTTGCTGCATCCGGCGGAAGAGAGCGAGGGATTCTTCGCCGCGGCCGTGGTGGGCGCACGATTCTATCATGGAGCTCCACGAGATCACGTCCCTGTGCTGGCCGCTGCGAAATATTCCCAATGCGGTGGTCTCCAGGAGGCCAGATCGATCTTCTCGAGGAGCGTTCTTGATCTCCAAGAAGGATGAAAAGCCCGATCCAACAATCCTGGAGTGGATTTCCCGGACGGTACTCAAGGAATCAGAGCAAGCATTCACGATCGCGACGAATGTGACTCTGTCTGGCTTCACACCTTCCAAATCCATCCTGCACAAGAGCTGGAATGCCTCCTCCTCACGGCGTCGTCCAGGAAACGGCATCTGGACGCTTCATCTCGAAGAGCCGGAGCGCAGCACCGATTCTGCTACCCTGCGCTAGCGCCGCGATCGTCGCGTTCCCAAGATAAGTTCACGTCCGATTCTCACGTGCTGGAAGACGCTACAGGCTTCTTGAATTTTCCCTCTCTTTGCAAGCATCTCGGGCGAGGATCTCATTCTCTCGATCCAGACGCCGATCGCCGTGCACGCGCCAATCGCTGTGCTGAAGCTAAATCCATCCGGCCTCACTCCCATCTGATGCATCCTCCAGAAAATCTCCAAGCCCCTTCTCCCCTCCCCATTCCAAGAACACACAGCCATGAGCGAATTCCACACATCGCTGTCGATCTCCTGCTCTTGGCACAAGAGCGATCTCGCCTCGTCAATCCGGCCTCAACCGCCATACGCATGGATCAGCGCCGCGAAGCAATCCACGGCCTCATCGAAATGCCCGTGGGGGGCAATTGCCGCGATGGCGCTGTTCCAGGAGAAGACGTTCTTGGCGGCTATGGCGGCCAAGCACGACACCGCATCCTCGAGGCTGCCGCATCTGGCGTACATTTCCAGTAGGAGATTGGGGATGAATGTGTTGGTGGTGTGGCCATCGTGATCGATTTGGGTGTGGAGCTTCCTGCCATCGTTAAGGCTTCACTAGGCAGCCATAGCCATAGATCCAGCAGGTGAAAATTTATAGAAGCTCTTTAGCTATAGGTTAGTATATAGTTTTTTAACGGTTGCCTTGTCGACAATGGCGGATGCGGCAGTGGTCGGGATCGTCACTTTTGGGGAAGGCCGAGTTGCATACAAGACCCTGAAGTCGGCAGAATTCAAGTGTGAAGATTTGGTGAAGCCCGATGCTGTGACGGTAATCCCCTATCCTGGCATAGGTCCAGTAGGTTTGCGACCAGGAGGGGTGATCAAGTTCATTGGCAAGGAAGCAGTGAGGAAACTATTGGAGATGCATGAAGTGGGAGCGCCAATCTACGTGACCGGAGCCAAAGGCATTGGCAAGAGCTGCACACTGCGTGCGATAGCTGCCGCTCTCATTAACCAGAGCGAGGAGAACGAGAAGATCATCTGCATTTGGGACATGGAATGGGCGCTCTACAATCACATGGAAGCTCTGCGGAACGCGCTGTTATTTGCGTACTGTGAGGACGAGGCAGCGTGCAGGACGATTGCGCAGCTGACTTCTGTACAGGAGGTGTGTAATTTCCTTTCCGACAGGCGGCACCGCAGCGGGGAAGTTTTCTATTTCGTCATCGATCGTGCAGAGTCGCTTGATAGTAAGCGATCAAACGGCGAAGAAAGAGGTGATGTGGAACACAGGAATCAAATGAAAGCACTGTTGTGTAGAGTTGTCAGGCTTGGACGTTGTTGCATATACGGTGTCTCTCCAGCTGCAACAGACATTGGTGACAGCTCCCTGCAGCAAAGCCAGTACCACATGTCGTTGGGGTTCAAAGATGTAAGTTCTGCTTGTGTTTCACAGTTTCTGTGGTTCTCTAAACTTTTGTGTATGTAGGCCTCTTATAAAGCCTTTATGGATCAGTCCGTCCTTGGCAACCTCTGTCCCGAGTGGAAAGAAGAAGTTGATATCTACGGGGGCAACCATCCGCTCTTCCTTTCCACTCTGGACGAAGCATGCAGAAACTACGCTGCTCGTATCAATCCGCAACCGACGAGGAAAAGAAAATTAGGTGGCTTTCCGGATGCGGTGAAACCTCCAGATAATTCAGAGACCCTTGAGTGTCTCCGAGACCGAGAGGACTGGGATGCGGTTCTACAGCTGTTCATGTGTTCAAGTTCTTTGTCAACCATTGCCAGTGACTGTGCAAGCGTGGTGCGTCGGTGCAGTTTAAGCGGAGTTTATAACTTGAGCCAAATGATGCAAGCGGATAGGAGATATGTGCTACTGGACAGCCAGCGGCGCGTGAAGGACTACTGCACTCCGTATGTCAAGAGGTTGCACATCGAAGGTTTCAGGGAAGCCGAACGAGGCAGTTTCAATGGTGGTGCATGGGTTCCATATTGCGACTATCTGCTGAGGAATCCCACGGGTATCAACTGGAACGAGATGGGCTGGCTATGTGAACATTTGTTCTCGGAAGCGCTCACGCACTGTGGTGGTATGGTTGTAGACGACATCCATATCCAAGGCAACATCAGAGTCTTGCCATTTTCTTCTCCTCCGAACTATGCAGCTTGGATTGGCGACATTCAGAACAAGGTGGTGGATGGAATTTTCTTCCTTCCGTTTCAGTGGAACTTGCATGCTGTTGACGGGGCTCTTGCGTTCAGGGATTCACAGGGCAGGCTGCATTTCTTTGCTCTACAGGCTACAACGAATGACAAATCCCACAGGCGCAGTGTTGGGGAGTTCATGAATCTTGGAGTGGTGGAGAAATGGATAGCTTTTGAGGAGAAGTCATCGGCATGGGAGCCCAAGGACGACTGGACGTTGCATTTTACATTTGTCTGCTTGAACCAGTCCGCCCCGGTCTCCGTGGATCCAGTGATTAAGCGTCTTCCAAGTGGGAAATACTACGGCATGGCTGGACACACAGTTCATACAGTCACGTTTCAGGATGCTTTTCGCCACACGTTCCAGGACAGCCTCAGGGAAAAGCTCGAGCAACTCACAAGGATGCGAGAGCCTTTGGCACCCGCCACAGGAGCAGCAGTAGCAACCACTGTATCAGTTCCCAAGTCACTCTTGGAGGAAATCCTTGACTATTCAACAAGGGAGAAGTTGGAGACAATTGCGAAGGATTACGGGATGGATCCAGCGGTTCACAAAAAATTGAAGAAGGCTGAATTCATCGAAATACTTGCACCCTTTCTACATGACAAGGTTAAAATATGATAACATGTACCATCCGTACATCATTTAATACGAAAATAACAATCAACACAATCGACCATGTCAGAGGGAAGTAACAGGCAAAGATCATGGTGGGAGCCGAGGCATTGGCCTTGAGTCGTATGGCCAAGAAGTGATTATTCACGTCTCGGCAGAGGAGCTGTGCATCTGGTAGAGTAGTGTCCCTTGAGTATATTACCACATCCCCCCCTCCCTTGCGGATCCTCTTCCTTGTGCCACGGAACCTTGGTATTGTGGCAGTCTCGTGCATCTGATACATATAAAAACCCGAGACCGGAGTGAGTCGGGAATCCTGTTGCATTCCAGAACAAGATGCTTAGACGCGGTCGTTCCATGCTAGCAGTGAGCCCTAGAGAGTCCATTATGGTGTCCGCTTTAAGCATAATCATTGAGCGCGAGATGGGACAGAATTTTAAGTGGTAGTGGATTTCTGATAGAAGAAAGAACAAGGAGAAAGTCCACAAATGCAAATGAAAAGAACACGCTCTAACTCTAAGCATCTTGTTCCATGTTTTCGCCGCCTAGCGTCTATTGGGACCTTCCTTTCTGCTTGAGATTTGTGTCGTGGCGTTCTTGGTGACTCGCGAGATGGTGCCTGATTGGTCATCTCTCTCGTCGGTGTAGTCTGGAGATGGGTGGTCGAGCAGATTGTAAGATGGGCAGGCTGGTTGTGTTTATAATATTAAATACCAGGAATTTAAAGAAAAACAGAGCAGACGAATGCTTATGGAATCCAATGCTCCCTTATGATCACAGCTCTTTCTTTCCCATCACCACGGCATACTTGAAGGTGCCATTCTTGAATCCTTTGTCCATGTAGAAGAAGTGATAAGCCAATGACAGACTTGTCCGCATATGTGCCCATCCTGGAAAGCAAGAAATAAAAACAAGAAACCAAAGTTGCGTAACAAGATCTTTACGTACCTGATGTCACGAGCTTGAATGCACCTCCCAATGTAAAGAGCTGGCCCGTGAGCATTCCCCAGAATGGAAGCATGTGTCGAGTCCAATCTTCCACCTTTACTTCCTACAGATAAGATAATACATAAGATCAGCCATAGAGTCGAGAAACTTTGAAGAAACCGAACTCTTACTTGCAAGCCCGCATTGCGTGCTAATGTTTCGTACTCAGAAGTGGCGCACCAGGGTGGAAAGAAGTAAGCAGCACAGATCTTATCCAAGAGCGCCTGCAGCCATATGTTATGACAATCTTCTTAAGAGATCAAGAAATATCTAGGAACTTCGCTTACTTGCTCATGCTTCTTGAGTGAAGTTTCTCCAGGCTTCAGTTCTCTGTGGCACCAGCTCACAAGCACCACCCGACCTCCGGGCTTGGTCACGCGTGCCATCTCTTGCATAAGCTGCAATCGCGTGCGGGAATTTAAACAAACTCAGATGAAAATATTATGAATTCTTCTACCTTGAGTTTGTCCTCAATGTGCACTGCGCATTCCATGCACCAGACGAGATCAAACTGGCCGTCTTCGAACGGTTGATTCAGTGCATTTGCTACTTGGAATGTCACCTGTTCTTAAGTGTTAGAAACCGCCCCAAACAACCGAGTGGAATCTACCTTGTCTGAAACTCCTTCCGCCCTCGCGATGGCTTTGGCTCTGGCGATCTCGTAATCGCTCAGTGCTATTCCTTTCACATTTGCCGAGTACTTCTTGAACAGATATCGAGAAGTTCCCCCAAAACCGCAGCCCACGTCCAGTATGTCTCGAGGACGGCTTTGCTCATCATCTAGGAGATTGTAATAGAATAGAGAGGGATACCATGACCAAAAGCTTACTTGGTACTCCGGCCCAAGAGAGGACCTCCTCGATCATTCGGACTTGTGCCACTCGAAAGTCCCCAGGCTTGCCCGCCTCAAAGTAGCCCGAGTGCATATGCTCACCCCACAGGGCCTCATACACCACGCATCCCTCGTCATAAAACTCTTCGATCTCGCCGGCCATTGCAGGAACAAAGACGCTGGCGCTTACTGAACAGCCGCTGCTCAGCTAGGACTTAAAATTCCTTCTTACTGTAAGAAATCATGAACATTATTGATGATTAAAGTGATCGAAGGAGACAAGTCTCCTGCTGCCATGACCACAGCATACTTGAAAACGCCAGTCTTGAATCCTTTGTCCATGTACGAGAAGTGATATGCCAAGGATATACTTGTACGAAGATGTGTCCATTTTGTTTACTCTTGGAAAAGTTTTCTATTACCTGATGTTAAAATCTTGAATGCACCTCTCAAGGTAAAGATCTCTACAGTGAGAAGGCCTTAAAACGGAAGCATGTGCCATGTTCAATCTTCCACTTGTACCTTCTGGCACACAGTAAACTCTGAAATTACAACACAGACCTGTATCGATTGTTATATAAATGTCTGGCACCAAGGTGGAAGAAGATATGCTATCCTGATTCACTCTCTCTCCGCTTACTTGGCAGTGACGGGGCAGCGCTTTCATTACTCCCTCTCCCGTCCCAGCAAAATCTTAATCAGCGCGTTTTAGTGGCCAAATTTCAATTAACGGTTGCGCCTCTGGGAGCCTCCTGTGAAACCTATCGTACCGAGATGTTCCTCCAAATCCACAGCCCACATCCAGAATGTTCATTGGCCGGCTTTGCTCGTCGTCTAGATTCACACACATTGTAAAAGGGTGTGTCTCGGAGCGATCGAAATGCTTACCCAGCTCCTCGAGCATTCGGATTTATGCCGCTGGAAAGTAGCGAGTGTTGCCAGCATCGAAGTAACATGCTCACCCCATACTTCATACACCACACATCCTTCATAGTCTCCACAGCCATTGCCAATAAAAAGAAATATACCTAGGTAGTAAAAGAAACTTGCGTTGTTTAGAATAGGTTCGTTTGCGTGGCTCCACTTCGTTGTAGTTCTCGTTTGAATGCGGTGGCATCATCTTCGTCGTTTGGAACGTTGAGGTTAGATAGTAAGAGGTTTCACGAGTGGAGCTTGTATAGTTGCCACTCCGCACGTTACTCTCCGCCATTATCTCGCGAGTGGTTTCCGCATCCACCAGTTCCGTATCACCATCTTTGGAGCGGGCGGACTCTTGGAGGCGAATTGGGAAGAAGTCTCCCTTGGTGCGATCCTTTAACTTTTCTCGACCCTTGTGAAACGAGCAGGTCACTTTCGTACCAGAAGCACACCAGAAATGTCCTGCCAGTTGCATCTGGAATTTTGTGCAGTGAAATTGGGTGATTAGGAATTTGGCAAAGTCCTCTGAATCGATGTTTCCTGGGACGTCCACTTTGAGCAATAGTGCTCCCGGGTTCCTCCGGGGGAATGAATGAGTAGATCTGGGAAGCCTTGGAAGGCTCTACCTTGCAGCGGGACAGATCTAGGGGGACACGGCTGCTTCCAAAGGTTTTGCACCATTCTTCTCCAGTCATCGTGCTGGCAGCTTGTGCGAGCCAATTGGAGATCGTCATCACTGCCTCTGCCTTGTCCTATCGACTCACCTTGGCCTTGTCGTCAAAACCTTGGTCGTGCATGGTTGGCTGTGGAGGCGAGCGGAAATGGTGGTGTCGGCGTGGCGGCGGTGAACGCGAGGGAGTGGTGGCTCCTGGTATCAGCACGTCGTGAAGCAGTATCAGTGGGGTGCCTCAGCCGATAGGGCCCGGAACGCCAGGAGCGGGACGACGACACAGCAGATACCCTGGATACTGATGATACTGTGAGTTGCTGCGGGAGGGCGTGGAATATTGTCTGGGATGAAAGAATGAGAGAAAGAGTCAACTCAGTCAATGAAAGTCAATAATACTTCTATTGACATATTGACATGACTTAAATTCATAAATTCAGCTATCCGACTAATATCATGGATTATGAGAAGGCTACCTCAAAGTTTGGATGGATCTGTGAGGCAGCTGCTGGAGCTCCAAGATCAACCACAGACTTGCTCGATCTACAGCTCCATCCTGCGGCAATGCATCGATTCACGGGCACCGCTGGGTGTCGGCAGGGTTGTGCACGATCACATCGCCAGCCACGGGCTGGATCGGGGATGCTTTCTCGGGAATTTGATGCTCCAGATGTATGCGGCCTGTGGTGGATCTGGCGCGGACGCCGAGTCAGTGCTGGCGAGACTTCTCGAGCCGGATGTTTTCTCGTGGAACATGGTCATGGCAGCATATGCCAACAAGGGGCAACTGCAAGAGGCTCGGCGGATCTTTGAGCTCTCGCGGAGGAAGAATGTGGTGTCATGGACGATCGTCATGGCGGCGTTCTCTCAGAGTGGTCGGATCCGTGAGGCTGGGACGATGTTCCAGGCGATGCCGCAGCACAATCTCGTCTCCCAGACGGCGATGATCCGAGCTCTTGGCCAGAGAGGGGATTTTCGATCGGCTCGGAGACTGTTTGAGACGATGGAGGAGAGGAACTTGGTGTCCTGGAACACTGTAGTGGTGATCTACGCTCAGGTGGCGATGGTGGATGCTGCGATAACCGTGCTGGAAAGAGCTCCCGGGTGGGATCTTATCTCCTGGACAACCATGCTTGCAGCATATGCCCAACGAGGAGATCTTTGTAAGGCGAGAGAGATCTTTCATTGGATGAAGCACCGGAGTGAGGCTCCCTGGAATGCGATGATCCAGGCGTACGCCGAGGCTGGCGAAATCGATCGCGCGAGTGAGATGTTTGAGAGGATTCCCATGCGAGACATTATCACCTCGACGACGATGGTGGACGCGTATGCTCAGGTCGGGGATCTTGCTGTTGCGCGAGCGATCTTCGACGAGATGCCCGAGAGGAATTCGGTGACTTGGTCGGTGTTGATCTCGGCCTACGCCAAGAACAGCGGGAGAGAGTCGCTTCGTCTGTTCCTCCGGATGGATCTCGAGGGGTTTCGAGCCGAGGAGATGACTTACGTCGCGGTGCTGGATGCGTGCTCGAGCGCGGCCGCGGTTGCCGAGGGCAGGATCATCCACGAGAGCGTTTCGGATCGGGGGCTGGGCAGGGACTTGCGAATTGGGAGCGCTCTCGTCGATTTCTACGGCAAGTGTGGCCAGCTCGAGACCGCTCGGATGATCTTCTCGGAGCTCCCGATCCAGGACGTGATACTCTGGACAGCGCTGATCACGTCGTATGCTCACAATGGCCATCTCCCGGAAGCTCTGGCGATCTTCCGCGAGATGCTGCTCGCCGGGATCCTCCCCGACTGCGTGACGATCGTGAGTGTTCTCTCGGCTTGCAGCCATGGCGGAGTGGAAGGCGATGGATGGATTCACGTCGTGCGAATGGCTTGGGACTACGATCTGGAGCTCTCGCTGGCTCACTACCTTTGCGTGATGGATCTTCTGGGACGATCGGGGAAGCTCGAGCTGCTGGAGGATCTGGTGACAAGCATGCCTTTCGAGCCGGATGCTGTGGCATGGACGACTTTTCTCAGCGCTTGCAAGGAGATTGGAGACGAGAGCCGCGCTACTCGAGCTGCTCGAAAGCTCCGAGAGATGGATTCCAACGCCATGGCCCCGTATGCGCTGCTCTCCAACATGCACGCCGGTGTGGCGAACGCGGAAGATTGACTTTTCTCGTTTGCTTGAAGCTACTCTTTAAACTATGCTTTCCAGCATGGATCCACGAGAGCAGCGATGGACGGGCGGTCTTCGCAGAAGGCTCCGTTCTTGCTCGTCATCCTCTTGAAAACTTGCTTTGCGATGTAGTCGGATCCAAACACCAGCATCGCTTACGCCCGGATTCCTGGACTAGCTTGAGGTGTACGAGCGCTTGAAGGCCCTCCTTGATCTCGTCCGCGAATCCATCGCTAACATACAGCGGACTCCCAATCCGCCACCTCCGCCACTGCAGCTCGGACGTGACACTTCACGCACGGCTTGTTGCTGACAACGAGGCCTGGCAAGCCACCACAGACTTCGAGTCGAGCTCTCCTGCTCAATCCAAAACCCAGAGCTCGGTTGCACTGCTCCAGTTTGTCCAGAGACTAAGCTTCCAAATGGCAGACTATACCAGTGTACGCGTCGCGGTATGGAGGGGCCAGCTGAGAACTCCTGGGCTGATCCATCGACGATCAGCCAGACAGGAAAGTTGGAGTTCCATAGAATTCCTCTTTGATTTTTTACTTTAACTAGTAACAATATCTGTTCTCATGTAGCGTAGCAATTAGCAATCCACACCAGAGCCACCAATGCCCAAAGTAGGAGTTGCCCATGCAACAACATGGACGTTCCTCCGCTCGGTACTCTCGATGAAATCCTCCAGGAGCTCGTAGTTTGGATGAATCGGTCTTCTCTCTCGCGCCCAAGATCCCAGATGGAATTCGCAGCACGTCCAGCTCGACCTCGTAAATTCTAAGAAGACTGCGTTATCTCTTTAGTCTCAAAATAAAATTACCATATTTGGACAAAGACCATATATGGCTCAGAAGTTGTGTGTATAAAAGGTGTAAAAACCTTACCTAAGGATATTAAATAAGCATGGCCATGACAAGTTTCCTCGATATGCATACGTCGCCTATGAAGACTATCATTGATTTGATAGAGGTTTTAGGTATGAGATTAACTCACAGGATGTGGGTTGCTCTGGTTTGGTATGGGAAAAAAACGGGGAAGACTATCGATGAGATTTGGAGTGGTCTTAGGATGCAAACCGCACTCGAATTGCCGGCTGACAGGCAAGATTGGGATCTCATAACATATGAGCGTATCCTCACCAAGATTGGCAGTGCTCCAGCTTTGGGGAAGACTTTTACTTATGATCCTCTCGAAAGCAACAGGGGTTGTTTGGCCCCTCGCCTGGAAGATCAGCTCAAAGTTGACGCATCTGATGAAGCTAATTTTGTGGTTGTTGGTTCGATGCCGGAGCCGCCCACTGTTGATTACCTGAGGTGTTTATCGGTGTATGAGAAGGCGAGGGATGCTTTTCTTTCGGCCAGGCTTGGGAGCTACAACTGGTTCATGGCGTTTATGGCGATGGCGGAAGCGGGTGTTCTCCTGGAGCACTTTAAGAATGCCCAGGAGTCTTACGGATATAGCATTTCCAAGCTGCGGCGCGCAATGCTCTGGGAATTCAGTGGCGACGACGACGATAACGGCGACGGTGACGATCAAAATCTGCTGTCTGGTTTGCTCAACAAGAACTTTGGCTGGGAGATGGAGATGTGTGATGGAATAGAAGATGAGCTACTGTTCAAGCCAAGGTCCAGGGCTACCGCGGGTCCTTGTTGGAATTACAAGACGATGACTTGGGAACCACGGATTGCATCACCACAAGCTGACGAAGACTTGCCACGTCCAATCGTGCCGTACGTTAGCCTTTGTTACAACGTTGTGGAGAGTGTTCTTGATCAACGAGAAGAATACATGCAAACGTCCTCCATGCCATTTGGGAAGATGGTGGTTGACCTGAGCGGGGCTTGGATGCTGAAAACGTTGGAGTTTCTGCGGGAGGATGTGAAGGAGAAGCACGAGGAGCACAGGAAATCTTTAGAAAACATGCAGGAGGAGGTCATGTTTGATGATTATGATCTAGATCACATAAAAAGTCTCCGTTCAAGGTTGAACAAAGGAGTTTAATACTCTGTTTTATTTTAGTTTAAGTTTAATACATACTCATAAATAATTTTATTTGTCACATATCAAGTGGACATAGATTTGTGCGATGGGCTTCCCAGGCTCTGCATGAAATGCCAAGGTTTAATGGATACGATCATGGACAAGTTAATTGATACGAACAGAGAGTTATCTTATTAAGCAAAGCCTAAAAAACTGCGCGCAAGTTCTATAGTTAAAGTTTCTCAAATCCCAGAGGTAGAAGTTTTAGGGCAATGTCATGCACGACGGCTTGATCTATGGCTATGGCTGCCTGGTGAAGCAGTGCCACAGCCTTGACGATGGCAGGAAGCTCCACGCCCTAATCGATCACGATGGCCACGCCACCAACACATTCATCGCCAATCTCCTCGTGGAAATGTACGCCAGATGCGGCAGCCTCGAGGATGCGGTGTCGTGCTTCACCGCCATAGCCGCCAAGAACATCTTCTCCTGGAACATCGCCATCGCGGCATTTGCCCGCCACGGGCATTTCGACGAGGCCATGGATTGCTTCCGGCGGATGCAGTGTCAAGGGATCTTGCCGGACGATTTCACCCTCAGCTCGGTTCTGGGCCCGTGCTCGCAGATCAAGAACGCGGCGAGCGAGGTCCGGGGGATTCACGAAATATTTCTCCAGCGCGGCGGATGCGATGCAGTCGTGGCGGCAGCGCTGATCCATGCGTATGGCCGATGCGGCCGGATTGACGAGGCGAGATCGCTCTTGTGCCAAGAGCAGGAGATCGACAGCGATGTGTGGAATTCGCTCATGGCTGTGTGTTCTTGGAATGGGGAGGGGAGAAGGGGCTTGGAGATTTTCTGGAGGATGCATCAAATGGGAGTGAGGCCGGATGGATTTAGCTTCAGCACTGCGATTGGCGCGTGCACGGCGATCGGCGATTTCGCGCAGGGATGGAGCATTCTTGGCCAGATCCGTTGCCTGGAGCTGGATCGAGAGAATGAGATCCTCGCCGTGGCGCTGATCGAAATGCTTGCAAAGAGCGGGAAAATTCAAGAAGCCTGTAGCGTCTTCCAGCACGTGAGAATCCCGCGAACCCTAATCTTGTGGAACGCGACGATCGCGGCGCTAGCGCAGGGTAGAAGAATCGGTGCTGCGCTCCGGCTCTTCGAGATGATGCGCCGGGAGGGGGGTCTGGCTCCAGATGCCGTTTCCTGGACGACGCTCATCACGGCGCTGGAAGATCGCGAGGAGGAGGCGTTCCAGCTCTTTCGCAGGATGGATTTGGAAGGTGTGAAGCCAGACAGGGTCACATTCGTCGCGGTCGTGAATGCCTGCTCCAATTCCTTGAGTAGCGTCCGGGCAATCCACTCCAGGATTGTTGGATCGGGCTTTTCATCCTTCTTGGAGATCAAGAACGCTCTGCTCGCGAAATATTCTCAATGCGGTGGTCTCCAGGAGGCCAGGTCGATCTTCTCGAGCAGCGGCCAGCACAGGGACGTGATCTCGTGGAGCTCCATGATAGAATCGTGCGCCCACCACGGCCGCGGCGAAGAATCCCTCGCTCTCTTCCGCCGGATGCAGCAAGAAGGCGTCGATCCAAACGCTATCACTTTCTTGAGCATTCTCTCTGCGTGCCGGCACTCTGGATTCCTGGACGAGGAGGCGCTGCGCTGCGTGGGAGCGATGGAAGCGGATTATGGGATCCAGCCAGGGCAAGAACACCGCGCTTGCGTCGTGGATCTTCTTGGAAGAGCTGGGCGGTTGAAAGAGGCCGAGAATCTCATCACCGCTGATGATCGATCCCATGGGGAAGTGGCATGGACGAGCTTCCTGGGAGGTTGTCGCGTCCATCCGGACGAAGCTGGAGCGATCAAGAGAGCTCAAGAACAGGTCCAGCATTGCGAATCGTCGGGATTTCATATCCTACTTTCCAACGTCAAATCAGGATAAAGTTGGCAGGTTTTAGGGTTAAGCAAGAAGAGGATGAGATCTGGTTTTGTATGTTAAGTAGAGATTTCTGTGAGACTTGCCATGAAACATTATTTCTTCCCAGACGAGGTAATTGATGAGACTTGCGATCAAAACACGTTTGAAGATGAGCTATCCCTATAACACGTTACACTTGTCACTTAAACAGCTAAAAGATGGACATCGTGAGGAAGAAAGTCTTGAAGATATGCTTAGTTATCCTTATAATATGATAGACTTAGTCATTTAAACAGCTCATGTGAGGAAGAAAGTCTTTGAAGATATGCTTAGTTATCCCCATAACATGATAGACTTAGTCATTTGAACAGCTCATTGAAAAGATTGGACATCGTGAGGAAGAAAGTTACAAATGTGTCTGTGAATGCCTTGCTATCGAAGGGCAATACGGGGAATGTGTACAGCAGTTATATTCAGTCTCTTCTTTGACATGATTAGGGAACACCCAACGTTTGTGGTGAAACAAGAGTTATACCAAGATGTCTTGGATAATAACCTGGACAATTCCATGTTGGATCCAGAACTTTTGATCAGCAGATGCGATTGCAAAGTTGACAGCTATGGCTAGAGAGAAACTCTCCGCTTGTTGCTTGAGATGGTTGAAACAGAAAGAGCGTATCAATCAGTGCTGGATGCAACCAGAGATGATGAGTCTGTGTTCTCTATCACAAGAGGCTGCGCACGCTAAAGTGATAGCGGATCAAACTAACCTGTATTAGGGATATTTCAGCAGAAAAGGAGCTTACTCTAGTCTAGTTAAACGATTACATCATAGCCCAGATAATTCCATGAGACACGGACGCTGTTAGCTAGCATGGAAAGGCTGCAACACCTTACCCAAATCTCTACGAAGTGTGTCAGAAGAGCAGTGTAATATTAGAGTGATGTTGCCTTTCAAGGCATGTGTAACCAAGGAGAAGTGTCTCAAGATAACTAATGGGAGAAGAATTTCCAAGAGAAGCTCTATTTATATTAAATACACACCTCAAATTGGACATGAAAGAAATGAAAGCTATTGTAGCCAGGATGGATAATTATGAACGAAGGTTTTAGTTTGAAATCAGGATTTAATTGTAATATAGGTGAGAGTGAACATTGCAGGTTGGATAGAGATCTCTGTGATGGGGTAGCCAAGTTCTGCATGACTCAGATGATGTAATTGATGCGATCATGGATAGGGCAGTAACATTCAAGTGCACATGGACTTTATCTAAGATATTTAGGATGAGAATTGGGGGTCAAGCCATAGTGTTTGTCTAGTTGCCACAGACTTTGAATCGAGCTCTCGCTTCATCCCAGAGCTCGGTTGCACTGCTCCAGTTCCTCCAAAGACCAAGCTTCCAAATGGCAGACTATCCTAGTGTCCTTCGCGAAGCTATAGTACGCGTCGCGATATGGAGGCGCCAGCGGAAGACTCCTGCCTGGATGTGGTTGCTTTCTCGATGCTCCATCGACGATCAGCCAGACTTTTCTCATGTCCCATCTCGGCAAGCCCTCGTAGCAATTGGAAATCCAAACCACAGGCTTCTCCAGCGAGAAATCGAAGTAGTAGAACCAGTTAACACCATCCGCTTTCTTGACCACCTTGTTCTTGCGCTGTGCCTGCCGAAAGAGCCATCAATGCCCAAATTAGGAGTTTCCCACGCCGGGAGTGGCAACAACATGGACGTTCCTCCACTCGGCAGTCTCGATGAAATCCTCCAGGAGCTCGTAATTTGGGTGAATCCACAGAGCTGTCTTCTCTCTCTCGCCGAAGAGCCCAGATGGAATTCGCAGCACGTCCAGCTCGACCTTGGCCTGAGAGAGCTCCACGGCCTACTGGAAAATTGGGGAAGAAGCCATTCCCTGGGGTGCAAACGAAAGCACTGGACACCTCAAAGAACCCTAAACTTTTAACGCGGGAAGTGAAGAACCCTAAAAAGAAAAAGATCCTTGTCAACGGTCAACCCAAGCATATTCGGATGTTGGTCTCTTTTCCTTTTCTTGGGCAAAGATCTCATCACATTCCATTCTCCTCCGAGAGCTCAAGCGATTAGATCTCCGGGAGAGCGCGAGCGATCATCGCCTCGCGGCTCGCCGGCGCCATGGTTGTTCCTCTCAGCAGCGGCGCCGGCAATTCCAGCAATGGATCCAGCGGCGGCGGCGCCTTGAAATTCTTGATCTACGGCCGCACCGGGTGGATCGGCGGCCTCCTGGGGAAGCTCTGCCGCGAGCAGGGCATCGATTTCGTGTATGGATCGGGCAGGCTCGAGGATAGGGCTGGATTGGAGGCCGACATTGCGGCGGCCAAGCCCTCGCATGTGATGAATGCCGCGGGCGTCACCGGCCGCCCCAACGTGGATTGGTGCGAGGATCACAGGGTGGAGACGATCCGCGCCAATGTCGTCGGCACGCTCAATCTCGCGGATGTGTGCCGCGGCCATGGCCTCTTGCTCGTGAATTTCGCCACTGGATGCATCTTCGAGTACGATGGAGGCCACCAGATCGACAGCGGCGTGGGATTCACCGAGGAGGACGCCCCAAATTTCGTGGGATCTTTCTACTCCAAAACCAAAGCCATGGTGAGTGGAATTCCTTCTTTGGATCTTGCATTGCTTGCTGCCGCTAGGGTTTTCCATAGCATTCCATCCAGATCTAGCTCCCAGGCAACGAATCTTAGAGAAGTCCAACGGAAGAATCTATTGGGCTTCCACAAAATCTAGAATTTAGTGAAGCATTTTAAGCGATCATACTCGAGCATCCGTTTTCACGATCTATGATCTGACAATTCTTTCTTTTTTCCAGGTAGAGGAGCTCCTCAAGAACTACGAGAACGTCTGTACACTTCGCGTGCGAATGCCAATTTCCAGCGACCTCGCCAATCCTCGCAACTTCATCACCAAGATCACGCGCTACGAGAAAGTGGTGAACATCCCGAATTCCATGACGGTGCTGGACGAGCTGCTGCCAATCTCGATCGAGATGGCTAAGCGCAACCTCACGGGGATATGGAACTTCACGAATCCAGGGGTGGTGAGCCACAACGAGATATTGGAGATGTATCGCCAGTACGTGGATCCGAGCTTCAAGTGGAAGAACTTTAGCCTCGAGGAGCAAGCCAAGGTGATTGTGGCGCCGAGGAGCAACAACGAGCTGGACACCAAGAAGTTGAGCTCCGAATTCCCGCAGCTGCTGGGCATCAAGGATTCGCTGGTCAAGTACGTCTTCGAGGTGAACAGCAAATCGAAGAAGTGATAGATCGCAAGATAAGATGGATCGATTGGAAGGATTTTAAGGCGTTACATTCATATCCATCATAGCTGGGAGAAAACTCTCAAGAACTCTGATCATGGATCTTCTTTCCTGTTCAAGGCCGAAAGTTCTGGCTATGATTAAGTGTTTGGTTTGTGTGTGCAAAGTTAAAATTTTGGACGAAGGTACTTGCAACTTTTATAGTATGTATAGTTCGATTAAAGATGAAAATGATGCCAACCTTTACACGGTATCTTTGATTACTAAGTTGGTATTTTATACAGATTTCTGGGAAGATTTTATTGTGGCTTTACTTGGAGACCTGTGCATGTTAGCTAGAAGAACATATGATGAAGCTGCAGTGGGCTCGAGATCGACGGTCGAGATGGCAGCAGCGGTTCCATGCAAGTGACGCTTGTGGCTTCGGCAAGCACTCAAGAGGCATCTCCACTGGAGGGCATTTGGCACAAAAGGCATGCTCGTGATCAAGTCCCAGGCATCTTCAATCGCGCCCTCCCTCCCCAGCAGATCGATCATGCAGCAGAAATGCTGCTTGATCGGCTCTATGTGAAAATCCTCGCGCATCGACACAAAGAAGCGCCGCCCCGAGCTCATCGTTCCCCCGTTGCTGCACGAGATGAGAAGGGGTATGAAACAGATGGCGTCGGGAGAGATACCGGTCCACGACATTGACTGGAAGAGGTCAAAGGCACGATCAAGATGCCCATTCTGGGCATATGCTGTGAGCATAGTTGAGGAGGATACCAAGTTCTCCTCCGGGATCCTGTGGAACCTCCGTCGAGCAAAAGTCAACTCCCCGCCGCCATCGGTCATAATGTCAACGCACAGGATCGAGTTCCACGAGACAATGTCCCTCGCGGGCATTTGACTGAAGAGGTCAATGGCACGGTCAATGCGACCGGCCGCCACCCAAGCCGCCAGCATCGTGTTCCACGAGACGAGGTCGTGCTCGGGCATGTCCGACAGGATATTCGCCGCCTCCTCCACACGCTCGTTCTGGGCATACGTTGATAGCATCGCATTCCAGCACACAAGGTTCCTCTCACGCATCGTGTCAAAGATACATTTGGCATCCTCCAGATGCCCCCGTTGGGCATACGCAGACATGATGCTGGTCCACGATGCCATGTCGTGCTCTGGCATTTCTTCGTACACAGACTTTGCAGCTTTCAGCTGATTTCTTAAAACGTGAACGAACAACATTGCATTGTACGCCACCAAGTTCCTTTCTAACATTGATACAAACAGTCTCTTTGATTCGATCAAATTCCCGGTTTGGGCAGTTGCGACGAGCATAGTAGTTGTAGACACTATATTCCACTCCGGCATTTCATTGTAAATCCAAATAATGAAGCACATATCACGGATGTAAGCGTAGCCAGACAAGAGCGAATTCCAAGAAATCAAGTTTCGTTCTGGCATAGAATCAAATGTAGCCTTGGCACAATCCAAATGCCCGTTTTGGGCATAAGCAGAGATCATTGCATTCCATGAAACAATTGTCTTTTCCATAAGAGAATCAAAGATCCTTTTTGCATCCGAAAGCTTTTCATTGTGTGCATAGGCAGCCAGCATGGCATTTTGAGATTCCGAATTTTTACTTGGCATGGAAGCAAAAATACTCTCAGCCTCTTGCATTTGGCCATTTCTTGCATAGGCAGAGAGCATGAATACCCACGAGTGGGCGTCTTTTGTTGAAATACCATCAAAAACATTACGAGCTTGGAGTGTGTCTCCACATTTACCATACATCTCAATGAGCTTGTTGTGAAGGAAAACATCTGTGGGATGAATTGCACTGCTGATGTGGGCGTGGATTTTCCTAGCTACTGTCACTGTGTTGCTAGATTCAATCCAAAGAATCCATTTGTTTCGATCCATAAAAAATTTATTCCCAGAGCTCTATGTAATTATCTAAAACAACACTAAACCATGATATAATTGCAATGCCATGACCTCTGCGACCAAAAGAGTGTATTCCAAAGTGATAGTAAGCCAGGAATGTCAATAGAAGAAACAAACGAAAGAGCATATGTACTTAAGCTTTGAGGGCGGCTGTGGACCAAGACAAGTCATTTCTTCCGTCTTGGAGGCCACTAGCAGCATTTGAGAATGGTCCCAGCAGAGCTCTATCCTTAGAAAACAAAATCGCATTATCTTGTGTTTTAGAGAAACACTACCATGCTTGGTGAAAGTAATGCGGCCTCCTAGATGGTGTAGCACAGTGCAGAAGGCTCTCCTTCGGCTGCGCAACGCTAGAAATATCTTGTATACAGTATTGTCAGCTCCAAGAAAACTAAAAAGGAAAAAAGAAACTTACCGGAAATGTCTGTGTCTCCATCCAAGCCAAAATAGCTTCGACCCTCTCGGTCCATGCGCTCGTCATGCCTCCGGCCACCACTTTGACACTCTTTTCTTGCTCGTTCGCTCGAACAGGAATTTGCATCTTCGCGTCTTTTGGAGTAGCATGGCTTTATCCTGTGAGCGTCAGAGATTTCTTGCGAGCTCATCGAAGAAACTCTCGCTCGATTCTCGGCATCGATCTCCTGTTGCGAGGGCGCCACATCCTTTTTGTGCGCGGCTGCGGCTTCCACGTCGAATCATCCCTGGATTTCCTTTGAAATGGCCGAACAGAATCTCTCCCGCCTTCCAGAGGGCCCCCAATGCTGTCTCCAATCCAATGCAAATGGATCAAAATCTAAAACCTCCGGCCATACTTTGGCCCCATTGCCACTGGAATGGAATCACCACAACGCACTCTTATACTTGTCATTGCTAAAAACAGAACAGAAAAAAAAAAAAAAACAAACTTTGAGACTATGAGCTGTCGGCTGTGATACAAATCGTATGTTATCCTTTCTCTTTTGCTTCGAGCTCCTATAAACAGGTCTCCATTGCTTCCATTTTGGTATTGCAATAGAAAATCAAGCGTTCCATTTAAAGTTCCTTGGTTTACTAGAAAGGTGTGGGCAAGCTCCACGAGAGTTTCTTTTAAGAGCCTTTCCTTGTCACAAAGCTACAACATGCAAATCACCGTCATTCAAGAGCTGCTGCAACCTTGAGTTGAAGCTCCAATGTTTCAACACAGCTTCCATCAAGTCCCTCCCATCTTTTTCGTCCTGGATCTTCCGGAACTTGATTGCTGCGAGTGCGGCTACCTTCACCTTGTGGCCATTTTCTTCCGTTGCGCGAATAGCTCTCTCCAATTGTATCATCTAGAAAAAAAAACATTCCAAGCTTCACTTCCTTTCCAACTATGATATTAAAACTACCATGTAAAGTAGCTTTGAGCTTTCATCCCACGTAGGCTTAGTTGGATGAACGTACTTCGAGCCTTTCCTACATACTGAAAATCTCGTAACCTCTGCCACAAACACTCCTCTGCATAGATGTGTCAGTAACTTAAAACTTTAAACAGAATATTTTACCCATTCACTTTAAATCCAGCATAACAATCGATTTCAGCATACCGCGGAGTCCCCTCTTTCTCTTCGGAATACAAACACAAGCTTACCATCTCCTCCAATTTCCGAATTGGAGTATATGATAGCCTCCTTGCAAAAGGCACTTCCAACGCTGCACTGTACTTGTCTTCGACAAATGCTTTGAGGAGAGTTCGCGCTCCTAGCTCACAGACTATAGAAACGTCGAGCCGCAAGACGTATAGTTTAATAAGGATGTCCTTGACGTCATTTCTCAGATCTTGTACGCCCGTTTTCAGTTCTTGTACTCCCGTTTTCAGTTCTTGTACTCCCGTTTTCAGCTCTTGTACGCCCTGTCTCATCTCCTTTACCAGCTCTTGTACGTCCTGTCTCAGCTCCTTCATGTTCTTGTACATTTCCACCAACAAAGTTTCCTCATCCATTGCTTTCTTATTGGGCAGAACAATTTTGGACGGTTCCCTGTAAAAACTAATAGTAAATTACAATGGCATATAGTAACGAAAAACTTACGCTGATTGTTCGAAAGCAGCATTCTCGAATTCTTCATGAGGATCAAATGGAGCAGTTTCGATTTCCCTACAAACAATTGATTAGACATTCAATCATAAGTATCTACAAAATTACTTACCAAGAACTTGCAGTGGGAGTTGGCTGTGTCTCGCTGTACTGGCTGCTGTTCGTGAAAGGGAGTCCATCGGAGCCAAAGTGCGGTTTCAGCATGGCCGGAGGACTCGAGGAGGAAGGAGTTCCTTCCGGTTCCTTCGACGACGAAGACATCCAGGAACCTCCAACTGGAGAAGCTTGAGCAGCTGCAACGAAGTCGAGGAGCTGAAATTTGCTTCAGACGCCTCTCGAAGAAACCTAATCCTTAAACTTTAAATTACTCTATTCTATTAATATAATTTCTAAAAAAATTACTCAAATTTAGCATAGTTTTTTCATCTTAAGGGTTTAGTGAGTTTGTGATGTCAGTCAGTCAAAAGCCCTAGTTCAACTCTTTTATGGGGGTTAGATCGGTGCTGGCAGCGTCTAGCGCGCTGGCTGTGGGAGCGGCGGTGGCATTGCTGCATTCTCCAGCGTTCATAGGTCGCTTCTATTCGGTGAGATCGACTGATCCATCAAAGCGTGCGCGAGGATTGACAGTTTTTTCCTCTCTCAGCTCATCCTCCTCCAAGTTCTTCTCTTTAGCACCATTGTTTGCGATTGTCCGGTAAGAGTTTTTTTTTTCCTCTCTTTTTGACGTCTTGGATTTTCTTTCACTTGCTCTTCTCGTCTCAGGCTTGGCAGGCGCTCATGCGAGGCCTTCTCTGCATTCCTTTAGGTGAGTTTTGTGAATTCTTTTGCTGGTTTTGTTCTAAGACAGAATGGATCTTCCATGCCAGGAGCTTCTGCCATTGCATTCTTCGCCATAACACTGGGTGCACCGTTTGGAAACGAGTCAGTGAAGAAAAAAGAATAAAAAACAGCAGTTTGTATTTGCTGGTGTCCTGCAGGTTTTTCTGGCCGACCTTCTATTGGAGCTTTTTCATGTCAACTTTGATGGTCTCTCGTGTTTTTTTGTTTGATTCCTCTAGTTTCTTATGCCGCCTTTGCAACGCAGATCGCGCCCGCTGGCATGGTTCTAGGCCCTTCATGGCGACGCTGGCAACAAGTTTTCGCGTTCACGAGGTTCAAGCTTCGTCGAATACTTCTCTCTTGTCAGCTTCTCAAGTAAAGTTTGCTCTCGACTTTACAGGCCAAGCGGTTCTCTGGAGCTGCTAGTTTGCGTGCCCGCTCATGGTGCTGCTGTGGGAGCCTGGATTGGTGCCTGGCCAATGCCCCTGGACTGGGAACGCGAATGGCAGGTCCAATACATCCCAGTCTTTTTTCCATTGTAGTTTTCTACTCGCTCTTTTTCAGCAATGGCCGATCTCATGCACTTATGGAGCAACCGGTGGCTACTTGCTGGGGTCGCTTGTGACATTCATCCTGTTCGTGCACAAGAGCGGGAAACAAAAGTAAATCAAATCGAAAGAATGACTAACTTCAGAAAGGTTCGATCTATCTAGTGTTTTCATAGATCGCCACGTCCAGAACAAATGAGGATCTGGAACTATTTCTCAGGTTAGCTGTTTGCAGAGGTGTCCTTTGTTTCTGCAGGTAATTGTCCATTAAGCTGGAGGTCGGCTCTAGCTTTGGGCATTTGTGGAGCATGAAACTCAACTCATGGACATGTTTGGCAAGTTAAAAGTTTTTTGTGAGATCATTGGTTGCTTGGAGAGCTTTTCTTGGAGATTGCAAGCTTCACAGCAATGCTGCTGTTGGAGTGGATGCTGCGAAGCGCAAAACTTACACAATGTGCTTTTGCGAAATCGTGATCACTTATATTTACAAAGAGCAAAACTTTGAGATACTTCCGGGACGGGTCTTTGTTCAATTTCCTAGCTAGTGCGGTACTTCCTCAGATTCCTGAAAGGCATGAAAAGATCAAGCAAGGAACACCAAAACAAAACCAACTTACTTCGCCACTTCGTTCTTGTCGAAACTCATCCCCTTCCGCTCCACCAGGAACTTGTAAACCGTCCATCCATCCCCATCAACCTCGTCCCAGTAGCGAGTCACTCTAAACAGACCATCGTAGCGATAGCTCTTCTTCTTGAGCCCAGACTCGATTCCCCGAATCACCCGGATTGGAACCTGGAACAGAAAAGCGTTGGCGAGAGCAAGATTTCCCCGATCCAGGCTCTGGTCCTGGGCATAACACCCGGGCCGGGCGGTGTTTTGGTGATTGCCCCCAGCACCGTGGTAGACAAAGCGCTCGCCCGAGTCGTCGTCTTCGTAGCCACCAGAGAGAACGATGCTGTTTGCGACTGGCTCGCCCCACTTGTTGTCGTCGCCACCAATCCACGAGATGCCGCCTTGGATGTGGCCGTGGAGCCCCACGATGCAAAGCTCGACGCGGAAGTGGAAGACGTCGCCAACTTCCACACCCGGGACGTGGCCAAAGTATTTTACACGGTTTAGCCACATACCCTGCAAAATAGATCAGACACGAGCACTTATAGAGAGTTTCTAAAGGAAGACCCAAGATCCGATCTTTGAGAAGTCCAAGAACACATAGGTTGAAACAAAGAGACAGAGTCTGGAGCACAGAAGCAAAAGGAACAAAACCATCGAACCAAGAAACGAAAAGTCCCAGAAGCGAACCCAGTGAGAGAAGGAAAGAAAGTGGAGAGATGCTTGCCTGTTGACGCATGGCTTTGCCGGCGTTGAGGTCGGCACGGCCTGCCTTGTCCGCGGAGCGCAGCATCTCAAAATGTTGGAGAGCTCTGCGGACGGCGACTCGATCGACGCTGCAAGTCGAGGAGGAACTGGGCGAAGAAGGAGCTTCGGACGAGCAGCTGGTGCTCAGACTGATGCAAAGTTCGGCCTCCATTTTTCCATCGCCCCCCTCCATTTCTTGCTCCGCCTCCTCGCGATCATACAGCACAAGGGCCTACACAAAAAGAAGAAAAGGAGAAAAAAATGCCGGACACAAAAGCGCACTGTACCATTCCTCCTAGAACAGAACGCTAAAACCCTACTTGTTCGATTGTTGGTCAACTTGGTCAACTCATTTCACAGTCATTCCACAGTCAAGAGTAGTCAAGATAAAAGTGATCTTTTGTCGGCCGGCTCAGAATTGTAAATCTCGTTATCATGGTGGACTTACCAACATAGTTTGTAGTTTTGTGCTGGGAATAAAAAACACACTCTCCCCTCCATGATCAAAGAAGCATGGACATGAGGATTTCTTCACTGATCTTTCTGGCATTCCTGTTATGGATCTCTGATGAGGTGATTTCATCTTACTCTACTAGCAACACCATTTTGGTTCCAGGTAGACAGCAGTTTGGAGTCACAACATGATGTGGATGAGCTCCTACCAGCTATCTACATACCACCAGTGAGTACCAAAATAATGCAAAAATAATGCAAAAAAAAAAAAAAAAACACAATAAACCTGTTTTGTTTACCAGGTGGAAGTGACTTCATCCAACTCTACCCCTGCTCCAGGACCCTCCTCACCAGCCCCAATTGGTAAAGTGTTTATAAAGCTTCCTTCATCCACTTGGCTGTGCTGATGAGATGTCTCAATTTCCCTGTCCTGTGATCCACAACAAAACAAAACAGACTGTACCAAAGAATGCAACAGGAGGTGCTCCAAAGCAGGCAGACCAAAGAGATGCCTCAAGTGCTGTAACATCTGCTGTGCAAAGTGCCATTGTGTTCCTCCTGGAACCTATGGCAACAGAGAGACATGCCCCTGCTATGCAACCATGACCAACCACAGGGGAGGCTTGAAATGTCCATAGAGAATCAAAAAAGAGGTAGTGGAGATCCAGGGCTCAATCAACCACAAGTTCTAGACAAGCAACATAGAGATGGAGTTAGTGCAAGCCAAATAATGTATTCAGGAACCAAAAAAAATCAACAGTACCAAGGCAGGAAAGAGAGAGGTGTCTAACAGCTAGCTAGCAGCATAGAAAACGAAATTCGAACGTATTATTTTACTCACGGCTTTTCGTCCTTTCCCTCGCCGGCACCTTCCTCCTGCAGCAAGGCAACAAAAGATCTCGCTGAGTAAACAATGCCACGAGAAAAGAACCAAAAGAAACTCGGCAGTTACCTGCATGTCTGAGGTCCACAGCGTTAGATTATCGCGCAGCAGCTGCATAATCAGAGTACTATCCTTGTAAGATTCCTCTCCCAAAGTATCCAGCTCGGCAATTGCCTCGTCAAATGCCTGGAAATGGATAAACAGTGAGTGAGCTGAGTGGAAAGAAAAAAAAAAACGCAACGAAACACGACACACCCACACACCTGCTTGGCAAGAGTACAAGCACGATCCGGGGAATTTAAAATCTCGTAGTAAAAGACCGAAAAATTGAGAGCGAGTCCAAGTCGAATCGGGTGCGTAGGAGGCAGCTGCGCAAGAGCGATGTCCTGTAAAGCACAGCTTCGAGTGAGCAAACCAAGAACTTTCGAAAACAAACGAAAAGAATCAATAAAAAAAAGGAAGCTTTGCAAAGGAAAAGAGAGCTCCACCACTCTGGATCGATGGCCTTTGCTTACCTGCGCGGATTTGTACGCGAGGAGAGTGTTCTCGGCAGCCTCTTTCCTCTCGGCACCGGTCTTAAACTCGGCCAAGTATCGGTGATAGTCGCCCTTCATCTTCAAGTAGAAAACCTTGGACTCGCCACTCGCGGAAGAGGAGATGAGATGGCTATCCAGGAGCTTGAGAATGCTGTCGCAGATGGTGCTAAGCTCCGCCTCCACCTTAGCGCGGTACTCCTTGATCATGGACACATGATCCTCATTGCCTTTGCTCTCCTCCTTCTGCTCGATGGAGGAGATTATCCGCCAGGAAGCCCTGCGAGCGCCGATGACGTTCTTGTACGCCACCGACAGGAGATTGCGCTCCTCGACTGTGAGCTCCTCCACATCCACGGCCTTGACGACATTCTTCATGAACTCCACCATTTCGTCGTAGCGCTCGGCCTGCTCGGCGAGCTTGGCCATGTAGACGCTCTCCTCCCGCGGGCTCGTCATTCCTGGATTGGACAGGGCGGGAGTGAGAGAGGATCTCGAGGGATTTGGGAGAGATTTCAAGCGCGCCGGCAAGCGGTCACAAGAAATTTCAGCGCCGAGAGGATAGATCCAATCCACGAGCACTCACCTGTTCCTCGCCGTGCGCGCTCCTCCTAGGGTTTGGGAGAGCGCAAAAGAGAGCTTTTCTCGTGGAGCTAGAGGCCGGCGGTTCGATTCTCCGGCACACTTAGATTCTCTTTTAGTACGGACCTCTCGTACGAATATTTAGGGCTCTAGCAGAGCTTCTAGGGTTCTAGGCTCGCGATACGATCACGATCAGGCGATGGACGATCAGGTTGCTGCAATTGGAGCTCTAAAATGTGATTAGGTTTCATCGTGTCACCGGCATTGATCCAGCGACTCCTTGTCGAGAGCTTTGAGCGAGTATTTCGTCTCGCTGGCAATGGATTATGATGCGGCTCTGCGATCGGACTCGATCGCCGCTCAAGAATGTGAGGCATTTCTTCGTGCGATCCAGCAGCATTGATCGATCTTGAATCTTTGATGCAGTTCGTGGAGCAGCGAGCGGCAGCCATAGAGAAGATTTCCAAATTGGAGGCATGGCTGTCGAGCGGCGTTCTTGCGGCTCTCAAGGCGTGCGGGAGCTTGAGGTACTTGGAAGCAGGCCAGAGAATCCATACTGACGCCCGTGAGAGCACGGGGATCTTTGCAGATGCTTTCGTCGCGACCGCGGTGGTGGACATGTATGCTAAGTGTGGGAAAATGGCCGACGCTCGCAAGGTGTTCGATGAGATGCCGGCTCGAGACGTGGTGTCCTGGAACGCGCTACTGCTCGGTTACGCAGTGAATGGCCAGGAGGATTTGGCTTTGGAGCTGCTCAGGGGAATGGAAAGAAGTGGCTGCTGTCCAAACGACCGGAGTTTCGTGGCTGGACTGATGGCCTGTGTCAACTTGGCCGAGAAGGAAGTGGGACAGGAAGTTTGCCGCAAGGTCGTCAAGCTCGGATGCTTGGGGAAAGGGACGGAGCTCCATCGCCGGGTTGCCAAGTATGGCTACGAGTCCGACGAGTTCGTGGAGAACATCCTGATCAGTCTCTACGCCAAGTGTGGGAGCCTGGTGGATGCTCGAGCGGTGTTTGAGAAGATTCGAAGTCCCAACGTCGTGTCGTGGACAACTTTGATCATGGGATACGCGGAGACTGGTGACGGGAACCTGGCTTTGGAGATGTTCTCACAAATGGTTTCTCGGGGATGCGAACCAAACTCTCGGACTTTCGTCGCTGCGCTCAAGGCTTGTGCTACTTTAGCGTCTTTGGAGCCGGGCGAGCTGGTTGACGGCAGAGTTCTCAAGCTCGGAAGCTTGAGGAAGGGCTCAGCTATTCACTCTCAAGCTGCAAAACGTGGATTTGACAAGGATATCTTTGTGGCAAGCACTCTCGTCGATATGTACTGCAAGTGCGGCAGCTTGGCCGATGCTACGTCGGTTTTCAGGGGAATGGCTCGCCGCGACGTCGTATGCTGGACCTCTCTCATACTCGGCTGTGCTGAAAACGGGGAGGAGGAGCTGGCTCTAGAGATGTTTTACTCCATGCAGTCAGAGGGCTGTTCACCGAATTCACGCACTTACGTTGCAGTCCTCGCAGCCTGTGCTGGGGTAGCACAGAAAGAAGAGGCGAAGCTCGTTGCCGGACAGTATTTGAAAGAGGTGACTCTAGAAGTTGGGAAGAAGATCCATCTGGACGCTACCAAGGGCGGTTTTCAAAGTGATACTTTCGTCGGCAACAGCTTAATTGGTATGTATGCAAAATGTGGAAGCCTGGCTGATGCTCACAAGGTTTTTGACAGGATGCCTGAGCGGGACGTGGTCTCTTGGACTGCTCTCATGCTGGGCTATGTGGAATGTGGCGAGGCCGAGGTGGCGTTTTCCTTGTTTGAGAGCATGGTCTCTGGAGGTTGCGTCCCCGATGGCAGAAGTTTCGTTGCAGCGTTGATGGCCTGTACAAGCTTGGCTGAGCAAGAAGAAGGTGACAAGCTTGCCAAAGTCAAGAGCGGAGCTTTGAAAAGAGGCATGGACATTCACTCGCTAGCCGCAAGGAACAGGTGGGACGCAGACATTTTTGTGGCTACGGCGCTGGTGGACATGTACGCGAACTCCGGGAGCATGGACAATGCCCGGACAGTGTTTGAAAAAGTGCTTCATCGGGATGTGGTTTTGTGGAACTCGCTCATGCTGGGATACGTTCGTAATGGTGAAGCGGAGCTAGTTTTCGAGCTGTTTACCAAGATGAGAAGCCAGGGATGTCCGCCAGACTCGCAGAGCTTTGTTGCTGCTCTGACGGCATGCGGTAATCTAGCTGAACGAGACGAAGGCAAGCACGTCAGTGGCAAAGTGGTGAAGGTGGAGTGCTTGGAAAAGGTTATGGCCTTGCACTCCGAAGCTGGTAAAACAGGAAAACTGGGCGATATGTTCGTGGCCAACACGTTGGTGGACGTGTACGCAAAATGCGGAAGCTTGCTGGATTGCCGAGCCGCATTTGACCGGATGCTTCATCACGACGTGGTGTCCTGGAACGCTCTCATGTCAGCACTCGTTGAAAACAGCGAGGGACAGCTGGCTCTAGATCTCTTCACCAGCATGCAACAGCAAAGTGGTTTTCTTCCGGATTCTCGGACGGTAGTTGCGGCTCTTTCGGCCTGTGGTTGTGTGGTGGCACTGCAAACTGGAAAGCAGATTCAAGCTGACATCTGTAGGTGCGGACTAGAGAACAACGTTTTGGTGGCCAACTCGCTGGTCGATTTCTATGGCAGGTGCGGCAGGATCTCAGTCTCTCAACAGCTGTTTGAAGCAGTCACAGACCCGAGAAGTGTTTCGGCATGGACTTCTCTGATAGCGGGATACAGTCGTCAAGGAGACGCACAGAAGACGATTGAACTGTTTGAAGAAATGCAGAGACAAGGGATGAAAGGAGACAGAATCACGTATCTCTCAGTTCTAGCAGCTTGCAGTCATGCTGGGCTTGTCGAGAAGGGAAAGACGTACTTCGAGGCAATGCGAGCAGACCGGGACATTACTGTGGATGCCGTGCATTACGCCTGCATGGTGGATCTTCTGGGACGTGCCAATTATCTGGATGAGGCCATTGTGGTGCTGAAGAGCAATATACCATCGAACGTAGTAGCATGGACAGCGTTCCTGGGCGCGTGTGGAAAGTGGGGGAATCTAGAGCTGGGAAGGCTGGCTTTTGAAACGATTGTGGGGCTGGACGAGAGAACTTACTCCGCTTATACGCTGATGGGAAATCTCTTTGCGAGCTTAGGAATGTGGGAGGAGCAAGCTCGGGTATTGGAGGAATGCAAGAGGATACAAACAGAGGCAGTTTTGCAAAAGATGATAAAGGTTTGCTCGTATCAAGCATGATCAACGACTCTGCCTTTCAAGATATGCTCTCAAGGTAGGTCTTGTAACACATTCATCGTGTTTTATGTTTTCCAGTTGTTGGCGCTCGAGGGTTCTTGTTTCTTCAGTGGGTCGTCACCAACCGCTATTCGGATCCTTCGTATGGTTTGTGCTCTAAAGTTCACCTTATTTCATGGTCTCTAACTCACTGTTTGTTTTCCCTCAGTCTTCGAGAGCATGACATCGAACCCTCTTTCTCTGCTGCGTTGAAGTCGTGCACTGTCTTGAGAGATTGCGAGATCGGTAAGAGAATCCACTCCAATACAAATGCTGACAACACCGACGTCTTTCTCGCAACTGCCTTGGTGACCATGTACGCAAAATGCGGCAGCATGGCGAATGCCTGCATGGTTTTCGAGGGCATGCCTCACCGCGACGTGGTATCCTGGAACGCCTTGATGATGGGACACATCTCGAACGGACAGGCCGAGCTAGCTCTGGAGCAGTTTGCGCGAATGCAGACGTCCTGCCAGCCCAACGCAAGAAGTTTCGTGGCGGCACTTGCGGCGTGTGCTACAATGGCAGAGAAAGAAGACGGCCAAGGAAAGCAGACTTGGTTGGAGAAAGGGGTGTCTATCAGTTCCTCGGCAGCAGCGAGCAACTTGGTCTCCAACCTCTACGTGGCCAGCAGCCTGGTTGAACTGTACTCGAAATGCGGGGCGATGGTGGATGCTCGGAGGGTGTTTGATCGAATAGAATCGCCTGACGTCGTGACATGGACTACGTTGATGGTCGGCTACGCAGACTCGGGTGACAGCGAGATGGCGCTTGTTTTGTTTCAAGCCATGCAGTCCCGAGGGGTGGCTCCAGATGCTCAGGCTTGTGTAGCTGCACTGAGGGCGTGCTCGAATCTGTCGGCGAGAGAAGATGGCAGGGAAGTTGATGGCAAGCTCGTGAAGATGGAGTACCTCGAGAGAGGCATGGCACTTCACTCGCTAGCGGCGAGAAATGGCTATCAGAAGGATATATTCGTGGCTAGCTCGTTGATCGACATGTACTCCAAGTGTGGAAGCCTGGAAGACGCCTGGATGGCTTTCAGCAGGATGCTCCGGCACGACGTAGTGTCACTTACTGCTATGGTGCTGGGCTGCGAGATCAATGGCGAGCCAGAGCTAGCACTGGAGCTGTTCGAAAGAATGGTGGCTCGAGGACTCTCTCCGAACCTGAGAAGCTACGTCGCTGCGCTGATGGCCTGCGCGAGCTCGGCTGCCAAGAAACAAAGTGGAGGAGCAAAAGACGCTGGAAGAAGGAAAGAGTGCCTGGAAAAAGGCCGAGCTATCCATCTCCAATGCGTAAGCACTGGTTGTGACACAAACGTATTCGTTGCCAACACGCTCATCGACATGTATGCCAAGTGCGGCAGCCTGGAGGACGCCCGAGCGGTGTTTGACAGCATTCCAGACAGGAACGTGATATCCTGGAACGCTCTCCTGGCAGGATATGTGGAGAACGGCGAGAGTAGACTGGCACTGGAGCTCTTTAGTCGCATGGAGGCTGATCAAGCACAGGGATACGCGTTACTGGACGCTCGGACTCTCACAGCGGCTGTGAAAGCAAGTTCCATCCTCGTCGCTGTGGAATCTGGGAAGAGAGCTCACGGCATAGCCTGCAGGACAGGAGTGGAGGACGACACCGGGGTGGCAGTCTCTCTCGTTCACTTCTACGGCAAGTGTGGGATCACGGTAATAGCTCAGCAGCTTTTCGACTCTCTCAGTGGCTACAAGGACACTACGCTATGGAATGCACTGATGACAGGCTACAGCAACCAAGGCGACGCTGAGAGAGTCTTCTCATCATTCGCGAGGATGAGAAACGAAGGCCTGCGAGGCGATGGTATCACGAGCCTGTTGCTCCTCGCGGCTTGCAGCCACACCGGCCTGGTGGACAAGGGACGAGAGATCTTTGAGAGCTTGCCGCTGGCGAGTAGAGCTCTGGGACACTACACTTGCATGGTGGACTTGCTGGGAAGATCGAACCAACTGGAGGCCGCGATGGGATTGATCGCGTCTATGCCATGGCAGCCGGATCTGGTGACTTGGATGACGCTGCTAGGCTCGTGCAAGAAGTGGAGCAACATGGAGGCGGCCAGAGTCGCGTTCCAGGAGCTGGTGAGAATCGATAGCCGGGAGGAGTCATCGTACTTGGTGATGGCCAACATCTACGCCAGCCATGGTCTGCTCGATGAGAGCTCCAAAGTTCTAGAGCTCAGGGATGCAAGACAAGCTCCAAGTCAGTTGTTAGCACGGTGATACAGACGAAAAGAGATTAAGCACGGGAAATCTGATCGTAATGCCACCACCTTTCTGTAGCTAAGGTGGTAAAGAAGAGTTTGTACCATTGAAGTTGAAGTTGTTTTATGTCTAGGGTGTGACTTGGAAATGTGTGGATATTCTTTAGGAATCATGGGAGGAGAATTTGCACTAGAGATATAGAAGAAATCTGCATAAGAACTAAAAGAGGGCAATTACAAAGAAGGCTTAGGCTATGACTCACAAAATGTTTTAACAACATTTAAAAGTGTTTTTAGAATGATTTTAGTATGCTATTGAGATTACATTTAGTTATTAATGAATTTTAAAGTGTTTTAAAGAGTTTTGATTGTAACTTACTATTACAGCTATTGGCAACAAAGTGAATTTTGTTAAATAATCCTTGTTTATTTCTTTTGTAACTTACTAAATTCTTGCTTAGACACATTGCAATGAAATTTATATGGCATAGTGCCTCTTAGCCTTAGTTTTGGTAGAAACTCTGTTGGATCAAAGTGGCCAAAGCATAATTGCAAACTTATTTGGATTTTGCAAGTTAGGAACAAAGTGCCATATTTTTCTTGGTTGGGGAAAAGTTTTTAGTTAGCAAAGTTTTCTGAATTTTACTATGGGGAGACTAGTGGCTGGGAATTGTATGTATGTCTGATTGATGAGCTCGGATTAAAACATGCCTTTAACTATTTTAGAGTTTAGATAATACAAGTTGAGGCCTTGCCACTAAAATAAAGGGTGGATTATCTAAGGTTGATCTCATTCATTGAGTTCTTGGATTTATAAGCACATTTCAAGATGGGAATTCTTCTTGTACATTGTCATTCTAGAGCACACTAACAATGTAAGCCATTTGAAATAAATTCACTTCTTTCTTTTGTTCTTCTATAACTACAGTATGTGGATGCTTAGAAACTTCACATTGAAGGTTGAAAATTTATCTTGAAATGAAGGTAAAAAATGAGAAAGAACTCATTTATGTAAATAAGTTTATTTGATATTGTGAGTGCTTGGAATATGGAAAGGGAATACAGAAAATGTGTATATTAATTAGCCCAAAAACCCTAGCTTATATACAAGAGTGAGTGGTCTAGATTAAAACCAATTAGACAGCTATCAAAATCCCACTATGCTAATATTAGTATATAGCATCCTTGGCGTACACTATCATTCCCTCCTCTCGGAATAATGGAAGACCATTAAAGTTCTCTTGTAGATGGGCCGGGATCTGGAGGAACATCAAGAGGAGGCATTAGCAAATCTGTAAGTGGTATTAACTACTCTTGATCCTTTTGTATAAAGCGTTTCAACTGCTGTACATGCACAATCTCTGGAGGATTGGCCTTTTGGATGTCATGCCGAACCTCATAAACTTGTGGTCCCACTTACCGCAACACCCGATATGGTCCTTTCCACTGAGCAAAGAGCCCCTTAGATAAACCACGTACCATAAGATGGGGAAAACGAACTAACACCAAATCATCCACTTTGTACTTTACAGGTGGATGATGATAGGAGTTGTAGCACTGTTGTTGTCCCATTTGTACACGGCCTAAGTGTTCGGCAGACTCTGCTCAGATAAGTGGAAGAATGCTCGTTAAATATTGATCCCATGACCTAGCATTGGCAGCTCGTGGCAATCGCGAAGGTAAGCCCAGCTCTGTTGGTAATATTGGATCATGACTATATAAGAGTTTATATGGTGAAGCACAATAGAACTTTGCACCCCTATGACATATGCATACCAAAGAGATAGCAAATAACTATCCCAATCCGAATGCTGAAAGTTCACATATTTCACGATCATCCCTTTGAACGTTCGAATGAGCCATTCCACTAGTCTGTCTGATTGTGGATGATAAGCACTTGTAAAAGTGTGGCATATCCCCAACCAAGACATCAAAACATAAAATGCCTCAGCCATAAATGCAAGACCATTATCCGAAAGAATCCGCTCTAGACAAGAATGTTAGAACACCACTTGATTGAGGAGGAAGTATCCAACAGTAGTTGCAAAGGTGCTGGCAAGAGCACCAACTTCCACCCAACAAGTCAAGTAATCAAAAGCAATAATAACATACTCATTGCTAACAGTCGACCGTGGAAAAAGTCCCATAAAATCAAACACCACCAATTTAAATGGATGGAAAACTACAATTGACTTCAACCGTCCTTCCGCGATACGAGGGGGAGTATTACGAGCTTGGCACCAAATGTAGTTATGCATATACTGGATAATATTACGTTGCATCTCCGGCCAATAGAAAGACCTGTGCGGCTTCTTAGTCACACGACGATGTCCTATATGCCCACCTAGAACAGAAGAATCATGGTAGGCATGGAGAAACCGCGGAATAAAGACAGAAGTTACCACTAGCTGTAAATGATCATTAAAATCCATCCCCACAAAATAAAGAAGGCCGTTTTCAAGGCGATATTGAAAATGTAAATGCCGGAAAGGCAAGTCATTAGCAAGTGATGCAGGATTCTCAAACACATATTGAAGACTTCAAATCCACAGCTCAATCTTTTGAGCCTCGCGAACCTTTCTCGCGAACACCCTTCTCTAACATCTCCTTGACATTTGCCCATAAAATCTTGATCTCTTTGGGTGACTGACAATGAATAGGAACGTTGATTAGACAAGCATCCCCAGTTGGAATCGGATGATGTGTGGCAATCTTGGCCCCAGACGATAGGTCAAATTCAAAGAGATCAGAATACTCCTTCGTAAGCCAATCAATTGCTACAACACAAAAATTATCAAAGGGATTGGAAAAGGGAAGAGTAGAACAAAATAGAAACATAGAAGGAAATAGTGGGGGGACAAAAGTAATAAAAGTAGAGGTGGAAGTAAAAGGACAAAGAGGTATGGAAGTGAGAGGAATGAATGAAATATAAGGAAGTATAAGACAAAGGGGAGAAGCCTCAAAGTCACACTTGGCATGATTGCGCTGCAACCAATCCATACCAAGGATGAGGTCAAAAGCTTGACTCGGCACCACCCATAATAATTGCAACTCAAGTTTGAGATCGCCCACACGCACAACTAGGTCCATCTCATCCCGTGCACATGCATGTGTACGGCCGTTGCCATAAAGAATAAAAACTGGTTCCGCCACACGATGCAAGTGTAGACGGCAACGTGTGGCAACAGGTCGAGGAATAGAAGATAAACTCGAACCTGTATCAACCAATATAGAGAGAATAATAGGAGACCTCTTGTTATAAAAACGAGCTTGGAAAGTAAACATTGGATGAACCGATGCCGAGTGAACCCCTTGATGATACTCCCGAAAGAAAGATGGTGCGGTTCACTGACTTATTCGTGCAAGGCCCCTCCTTTACTCGCGCGACTCCTTGTTTCCCGGATGCATCTTGGTGTCCAAACCTTCCACTGCAATAGCACCAACAGGACGTTGTTGACGCCAAGGTCTCCACCCAGGAAATAGAGGTTGCCAATCTGAAAAACGCTAATAATGCCGATAAGTGTGACCAACTTCATCACATGCTCAGAAATGAACATCATGGCCATGACCACGTCCTCACCCTTGTCCTTGGACTTGAGCAGTAGTATCAACCTCCATTGGAACAGGACCATCGCAAACAAGAAGGGGAGCGGAAGGACGTGTAGCAAAAAGTGGAAGAGGCAACATCTCATAACGTTGTGCCAAGTGAAGAGTATCATCAAGGGTGGCGGGAGCAAGTGCATGCACAAGTCCGACAAGATCTTGACAAAGTGCTAGCCACAAGATTCCTAGCTTGATCCATTCCAATATATTTGGCTCCACACGAAGCAAAAGACTTCGGAAACGAATACCAAATTGCATCACCGACTTAGATGGCCTTTAGTGAAGATGATGCAATTGTTAGAAGGCATCATCACAATCGTTGGCATGTCCGAATATGTGTTTGAAGACGTCCGGGAGAACACTCCAATCCCCACGAGTGGCTGTGCTCAAACCATTGTACGATTGCAATGCCGTCCCTTGGAGACACATGGGAAACTCACACAAACGTTGAGCATCATCCCAAAAATGATATGTAGCAATCACCGTGAAGTGATCGAACCAATGGTACACATCATCCCCAGGATTCCCGCGAAAGAACTCCAGCCAAACGCCAGGATTAACACCAAGAGCAGGAGGAGTTGTACTATGTGCCGTGAACGCTACCATCAACTGAGTTTGGTTGTTCAATTGCAAATGCATAGCATCAAGCAATTGTACCAACTGTTGCTCCAGAGTCAAAGGAGGAGATTCTTGATTTGCCATGAAGATGAACGAAAAGGAAAGAGTAAAATAAGAGAAATGATAAAAAAGCTAGAAGGAAATGGAGATCTAGACAATGCAAAAAGCTAAATCTAAACCAAGATCCTGAAAGGAAAGAACAAAAAAAGGAAATGGAAAAAACTAAATCTAGACGATGCAAAAGCTAAATCTAAACCAAAATCCCAAATCCAAGCACTCCTCAAGGACAATCAAAGATGCCCTTCATCTCCACTAATGTGAGTGCATGGAATATGAAAAGGGAATACAGAAAATGTGCATCTCAATTAGCCCAAAAACCCTAGCTTATATATAGGAGCGAACAGTCCAGATTGAAACCAATCCAATAGCTACCAAAATCCCACTACGTTAATATTAATATATAACATCATATCCGTACACTTGGCCCTCACAACATGGAATATAGTTTTATATACTATATATTAGTTCATACAATAATATAAATAAAAAACTTATATGCTTAGATTATATAAGTAATGTTGGTGAATAGTTTCCCTTTAAGAAATGATAATTTAGGGAAAGAAGTAGTGATTGTATCTTTAAAAGATTCACAAACTCTTAGTTTAGATTTAGTAGAACTTAATTTAAAATTAACTACTTAAAGTCCTTTAAGAATATTTATTATAATTTAGAAAATATAAATTTCACATTTCTAAGTTTTATTAAAATGTAAAATAAATAAATAGAAATATTAAATCCATCACTAAAAATATAGCAATCAGCCTTGATATGATATAAAGTGTTATAAATATTTATATACAAATATTTAGATAATTTTAATTTTTTCCATAAAACTTATATTGTGAGTGCATGTCATAAATGTAACTTTGGGTATCAAAAGTTATTTGTCTGCTAGTCCTTTCAAATATTTTATCTTTACTGTCGTGATGGCAGAAAGTCAATATTGCTTGTCCCTTTTTTAGTCTCCGCCTAAGTTAATTCAGAAACTAGTCTTTGCATATGCACTTGACTAGATGAGCATAAGGATAAAATTCTTAAATGCTATTAGTCAAACATACTTAACTTAGTTAGAAAAACTCATTCGTTGACTTGCACTTTCTATTGTTAGGAACCATTACGATATTGAGTTTGATCCCTCAATATTCGTCAAATGATAGCTTACTATGTCTACCAAACACCCTCACTATCATATATCTTGTATTAGTCTTGTTTGGTCCCAATTACTATTTATAAAAAATGTCTAGATTAGCTAATTTGGCATATGAACAGAATGTAAAGATTGTCTTGAACACAATGGTGTTCGTCCCGTGTCTAAATTCACAATCTAATGTCATTCTATAATTAGTAAGTTTCAAGTTAGTCCCAGAGACTAACTCCTGGTACATGCTTTGGTGAAAGCCCAAAGCATGTGTTCCTCAAGGAGGGGAGCCCTCATGCAAGATGATTTGATGTTGAACTCTTGTTCTTCTTGAGACTGAACTTTTCTGAGGAACACTGCCAGCTGTGTGGGGAAGAGGAACCAAGGGGGGCTTTCATCCAGTTCAGCAGTTGAAGAGGCTTTGGAGGATATCAACACTATAGACACCCCCAAGAAAGTTTGTCTCCTTGCCAAAAGGTTCCAACAGCTCTAGAGAAATTCCCTTGCTTACTAAAAGCTAAAAAACTTACCACCCTAGCACTACTTTCTTCACTTTTCCCTGGTAGCCAACATCTCTACTTTCTTCAAATAAGGCTTCTTTTCCCTTGCTAATGTCTCCTGCTGCCTACCCAAGCTTAGAGGTCATGGTTCTGCTTGGAACTTCTTTTCTTCCATCTGGAGGGGCACGGTCACTACTTTCTTCATGCAGGACTTCTTTTCTCCTGATTAACGACCTCCTCCACCAACGACACTCTAGCAGTAGACTCAGTCTCTTTATGTTTCTGGGAGCTGCTTTCTTCATTGATGACCTCTTTTTCATGATTCCCTGGCTCAAAGTGTGGCAACAAGGATCCTATTTCTTGATCATAACACCATGCCATGGCTCTATTAGTGATGGTAGCAGACAAGAGTGGACAACGTGCCTGGGTGCCTGTCCATTTGTATATTCAGCAATTCTTCTCAAATGAGAGGTGTTGCTCCCCAAAGTCAATAGAGTTATTGCCTAATTGCTCCAATGTCTCTACTCGTCTATGGCTCCCATGTCTAGCACCAAAAATATTCTGCTGACTGATTGTATACCCTCCAGACAATGAGCTCTCTATGTGGCCTTGATCAGCGCCCCCCCCCCCCCCGTTAACTTCAATTTCCCCAGGGATTTTTGGTGGATAAAAGTATGTGGGAGGTCAATGAGCACAAATGCCACTCACTGGCCCACACTCCCTTGTATTCAGACACAATCTAGTCCTGCTTTTTCCCATATAAGCCAGCAAGAAAACTATCCCACGTTGGTAGGTTGAAGTTAAGATTGCCATTTCTGATTGAGGCTCTGAGAACTCTTTTAGTGGTTGTTGGACCTCCATGATAAATACCTCCCACTCATCGTCAACCTCATCCAACTCACAAGGAGAAAGATCTCCTTATTCATTAACTTGGAGTTGTCACCCTAGCCCTTGAGTTGGTGGGTGATTGCAAATCTCTCTATGGCCCTGGCCACCATAGACAATTTTCCAAGGTGTAAATCTTGGCTTGATCACCCTGGGGAACAAACTTCAATTGCTTGATTTGCATTGTTGGAGGAGCCGCTGCTAGTGTCGGCTTAAACTGAGAGTCTCCACCATCTTGTCTAGCCCAGTCAGACCTAGTCTCCAAACCCTAAAAGCCACAATTAAAAAATTTCTGATTTGAAAAGTTACAACCTTTTGTAATTATATCTCAGCTGTTAGATCTTGGCATATGCCCAGAATAAGTTTCCCTAGCATATGTTATTATTATACCGGCTCTTTTGTTTAAATATATGAGTATGATGATGATGATATATTTATCATTATAAACACACTTTCTAGTATATTCTAGTTTATTTTACTATTAGATTTAATTATAAAATTTCAATCTAAACACTATAAGACAAGATGAATTCTGTAACTGACTCTAGTGTATAAAAGAGTAGAGTTGTGTTATAATATGGTTATCCCAAGGAAACTATCTGATTCTCAACAAAATACTACTATATAGTAAGTAATGTCTTTTATCAAAGTGCTGGGCATAACATACCCAATTTGATCCATTCTAACATATTGAGAATATAGTAAGGATTTTGATATATAAAATTTTAAGCTCAAATTTGATTAGTTACTTTGCATTATATTAAACAATAAACTTTATAAATATCTCACTTTCAACTACATGTCCTTTAACTCCACTTCTTGTGGTAGATATTTTATTCCGATCAAGGTTGAGGCTGTTGCTATTCGTGTTTAAGGAAAAAAACAAGGATGTGGTCATAATTACTATGATGTATATGTGATGAGATTGGCCATATGTATTGGTGTTGTTGGTGTTTCTTGGATTGGCATCCTCCATTTTCCTAGATGGAGACTTTGGTGTTAACAATGTTTTATTAGTGTTACTGCAATGGAGGATCTTGATAGTGAGATTCTTCCAGGAAATGAAAAGTTGCATAAGGAGGGACCTTGCAAGGAACAGCAATTCATAAGTAACTGCATATAAGTAATAAGTTTACCATATGATAAATAGATTGCATGTGTAGTACCTTTAGTAGGTCTTGGCATTGAAATTCTTCTAGGAAACGAAAAGTTGCATGAGTAGTGGAGGGATATTGCAAATTCATAATTAGCTGCATGTAAGTAATACGTCTACCATATGATAAATAAGTCACACATGAGCAGTACCTTTAGCCTTCTTGCTTTCTCTCTTGATGTTTACTTGCTCTAGAACACTTGATTAAACATCATATTGATTCCAATTCCACATAGTTTTCATGAGTAGTTTGTGTTTATAACTAAGAGCACCAGCCATGAAGCATCTCATTTTCAAGTTGTGGAACAATTCAGACTTTGTAGAAGATTGTGATAGAAAATGTGAAATTTGTGGAGAGCTCTTCAAAACAAAGAAACACTTTATATTATAGTGTCTATGACTGAAAAGTTATCCAAAGGTATTTCTTATGTATTTTATAACACAATGCACTGATAAACATTGATCTAAACAGATCCCAAGTCTTGGATGAGACAAGGAGTGACTAAAATGCAGCAAGATCTGGAAAAGTAACATGTTGAAGATATGACACAATGCTTTGCTATCTAGATAGGTGACTATGGCAGAACATATGATAACCTTGAATGCTGACAAGCTTTAAGTAGTTGTTGTCAACTTATAGGTATTTTTCATGTTTATATGTTTGATTTTATTATAGTGTGTACCAAATAGGTTTCATCAAGCAAAACTAGCATTTTGTAGCTGTAGCTCAAAGACACAACACACTCTATCTCTCTTCCCTTAAACTAACTGGAGAAAGGGTAATTGTTTGATAAGAGAGCATTTATCTACCAAGGTATATCTAAATCTCATCCCATAATCACATGCACTACAATTTACCATACATCTGTTCACTTCACCACCTATTTCTTCCGATTTTAATATTTATCTTCCTTCTAAACTTAAATTCAATTCATCATAGAAAACATAATTGGCTATGTAACACTATGATACAACTAATGAAAAGAAAAGTTTTCCCACCATAGTTTACACTCAAGTTCCTTGGATCGCTCCAATGTTCTCCATTGGATGAGATTGCTGGTGCAAGGAGAAGGGGGTTTCCTAGATATTTGCTCCTCCAATGCAGCTCCTCCTTGTCCTGGCTATAAACTCCACATTATTAATGGCATACGATACAAGGATTTTCCTTTATTTATCTGTATCACTAACAAAAAATCTTAATGGTGTTCACTTTCAGTGTCAATGTTGTCAAGGATGAAGTTCATTATCTTGAACACTGCTAGTGGAGAAAAGCCATACGAAAACCATTCACTGTTGCATTAGATTGAACAAGAACATTACCATGGATAAACTCCTTGCAATACAAAAAGATAGCTAGAAAAAATAGAACTTGGAAGAGAACATATACCACCAATTATTACCTCACTTCATAATTAATTCGAATCCAAAGCATTAAGAAAGCTGGTTCTTCCAGTTCTTGAGAACATTCTGTCAATGTTTAATTTTGTATTCTCAAGTAGCCCTGGAAAATCACTTGGCTATGAAAAGAGAGAAACAAAGAGGCAAGAATGTAAAGAAGTAAAGAAACAAATGTGAAGAGTGAAAAGTAAAACTTACTGGGTATAAACTTGATCCATTCCAACATATTAAGAATATAATGTGGATATACACTAATTTATTCTATATTGCACTATTAGCTATAACTTTTCTATCCCAATAAAGCGTTTTCAAAGACTTATTTTGGTCCAAGCCAGCAGAATGAATAACAACAAATAGATGGTATATTCTAAATATAACTCAAAGCAAACAAAAAAATTAATAAACCCAAACCAGATACAAAGCTGAATTACATTTCAATATATATATACTGGGCGTATATATATACGTACCATCTACGCTAAAAGAGTACTTCCCATTTCCATCAACGCGACAAGTAATGGAGCGCTTCCTGAGCACTCAGGAACTCGTGCCGTAAAAGCTTAGCCTGAAACTCCTTGGCCTCAGGTGACAGATCACGAAAGCTCTCCATAAGCCTTCCAACAAGATACAGATCGGAGGACCGCGTGTAGACGCCATCGACCAATGTGTTGTCGTCCCAGGCGCGAAGCCAGCAACTGGGCGTACAGTCTGTCTTCCATACTGTCTCAAGATCGATAAGCATCCAGCTCCCATTACTAGCAGGAAGCTTGAGGATGTTTTTCCATCTGATGTCCCTGTGAACCAAGCCTCCCTGGTGCAACGCATGTAGGCCGTGAAGCGCGCTCTGAACGGCCGGCCACAAGTCCTCTTCGCTGGAAATCATCTGCTCGTATCCCACCGACTGAATGACCACATTGTATCGTTCAGCCCTCACTTTGACGACACCTGACACCAGCCCCACAGCGCCAAGCCCGTACGCTTGCGTCACAAAAGCCGTCGTAGTGAATCCCTCCGCAACGTGCTGCGACCAGGGGCGAATCTCCTTGATCACCTTAGGATAGACGATCCGCAGAGTCCTGGTTATCTGACTGAGAGAACCGTAAAAGGCGGGAGGAAGCACGTTGAATGGCCTCGGCAGAAAATTCAGCTTGGAGTAGATGCTTGAAATTGTCAAGGCAATCCGAAGGAAGTTGATGGAGAGCCGTAAGCATGTTGTCTTGTCCCTGAGTGACCCCATGTTTAAGCGCCCAAACAGATCATCTGGTGTCTGCCCCTGTCTCATAGCCCACCCCGCCATCTCCGGACCTGCTAATGCGACCCCAACTATCCACTGGACGGGTTCATAGTACTGTGGTGGAAGTACGCCAAGCTTATTTATCAGGTCCTGGTACGCCTCTTCCAAAGTTGCCCGTTTCTCCTCGAACTTGACGCACAGCCTGTTCAAGATCCAAAGCAGCAAATCAGGACGGACGTTTGTCGTTGAAGCACCAGAATGGTCGGTGACGTTCCGGTTGAACTGAATGCTCGTAATCTCCGACAGATACAGCAGCTCCATCCACAAGTTGCAAAATGCCGAGTCCCAGATACTTTGCAGCAGATTCTCGGACATGCCAAGCGCCACTCTCGAGTTCATGAAGTTTGTTACGCAACCGGATATTCTCTCGGCGGGGTACTGGTTGGTCGGAATGAACTGGGTAGCATAGCTCGGGTCCAGAGTTGCATATGTAGCAGGACCAACAGGAAGCGGCAAAGGGAGTGGCTCCTCCAATGCTCTCCGCAAGCCAGCAACGTCGAGAACAGCAAACGGAAATGGTTGTAACACTGTGCGAGCCCATTCCTTGCTGTTATCAGAAGCATCTGTTTGAAATGTATGAGAACAGTAGCATGCCAAACAACATCAAACCTGTGAAGAGCACCTTGCGGAGATGAAGCTCGAATGTTGGGGGCAGGTGTGCGCCAGGATCTGGCGTAGGAATTTCCATCCATCCCTTGGAGCTAAGGACCGCGTCCACTTTAAGAACCGTCTTGAGCCAGTTTACAAGGTCGCCCGAATTCTTGATGTCGGATGGCACGGCCCGGAATGCTAGCTTGGCACGCAGATCGTCCACATTCCTACCACGCTCCTCCGCCGGATGCACGTACACAATGCACACGGGAGTCGAAAACACATCATCCATTGCCTCGAGCCCTAACCCTATGGAACACCATTGCTTTTAACACGATGCTGCCATGTTTGCCCTAAATTCCAAGACGACGACAGAGAAAAAAGAAGAGCTCCCAACTTGGGGCCATCCTCCACTCGTGGGTAATTTGCAAGAGGAGGCTGTCGGTTGAGTTGCCATGGTTTTGTTTCTTATTTGAAGGCTAATATTCAAACTTTTTTTATCAGCTTTTTATTTTACTTTGTACATCATACGTATACTCATTTTGTATACATGTATCTTACATCATTACTTTTGTATCATACTTATACATCATACTTCGTCTTCTTCAAGGAGGGAGCTCTTGTCCGTCCATGGAGTTCATGAATAATCAGCAGCACTAGACTTCCGATTCTCTTTTGCCTTCTTACGAAGAAGATGGTGATGATTTTCACCAAGGCATGGAATGACAATGGCAACAACATTAACATCAACTTCAAGTGTAAGGATGATCATCTAGATTCAAAAGATGAGGAGAAACAAAAGGAAGACAAGGAAGAAGAAAGACAAGCAAGACAAGGATGAGAAGATTCCCTAGAAAATGTAATCCAAAAGAGCACAAGGAATAAAATTGTGGCTCCAATGTTAAATTTTAACTAAGGCCGAATATTTGCGATGCTTTTGCATTTTGAAGAGCACGCACAAGATCACGTCTTCAAGCTTAAGAATCGAGTCGCACATTTAACGTGGTAGATGCAAGAACATGTAATGATTAACTTTCACCCTAAAATTGATGAGGAACAGGATCGAGGGCGCGACGAGCAGGGGCGATCCGGGCTTACGCCCATTTTAAACCGGCGGCTTTTAGCTTCATTCCGCAGTCAACCGAATTCTTGCATGGACTTTCTATAAAATAAAATTTGACAGTATAATTGCATGGCATACGCAGCATGCTGGACCATGTAAAATGAATCAAACCCAGTTTTACATTCTCGTCTCACCACCTTTCACAGGTTGCTCTAGCGTTTCTTTTGTTCGCCATATTCAAGGTTACTTTGGGAGCTCTTGTCTGTCTGTGGAGTTCATGAACCACTAGATCAAGTAAAGGACGAGAAGAGGGTGTTCCCTAGAAAATGTAATCCAATTGGGGAGAAAGCGTTGTTGAGGAGGCACTCGAGTTTAGGTCCGAGTATCAAGTCGACATTTCCCCGCACAAAGTGGTAGGCTACAGAATAATTTTATCCTGAGGTAAATATACTGACCATTTTGCAGGTGCACGTAGCAAATGAATGCATATTCCATTCACATATGATCAGGTGGTGACTGGTGTCGATCAGCCATCAAGAAGCAACATCAAATCAAGAAGCAACATCAGTGAAGGTGTACGACATCAAAGTGGTGCTGATGCTGAAGGCTATTCCCAAATCAATATGATGCCGAGAGGTAGGGCAGTTGAGCCAGCGGCTCTGACTGCTGGTGCAGTGGAAGAGCTGAATTTTGGTCCTCCTGAAGAGATCAAAGAAGAATTCGAACCAAGTGCGGATGTTCGTTTAGAGAAACGTCCTGGCACCAAAGGAATTTTGAACTGTTAATAATGTAGTCGCCACTTCGGTTGTTCGAGCGGAGAAACTGGAAAAAAGAGGAGTGCTTCTTTGGTTTTGCAAGACTTGTGGAGGCCGCCACAGTAGCCTGGTGGAGGCGCTCGCCGAGTACCCCCACCAGCGCGGCAGCCTCCTCTTGCAAATTACCCACGAGTCCCATTTGGAGGCGCCGCCTCCAAAGGAAAACGCCCGAGCCAGGATGTCCCCAGGTCGGGCCGGACTTTGTCCGGTGGGCTGCTGGAGGCGTGGGAAATCTAGTCGAGCTCTTCGCCTTTTTCTTCTTTTCTTCGCGGCAAGGAGGAGAAAGAAAGCAGACAAGCAAAAAAGTCTACCAAGCTCCACACACAGCCAGAAGCACATGAAAACAACCAAGCAAGAAGATCTAATCACTCAGCATGGGTGCCATCCAGATCCAGCTCCATCTTCTACGCCACAGCCAAAGAAACTCGTTAGAAGTAAGAAGAGCGCACACACACAAGCAATCCTCCCGAGCTCAACCGCCAGAGGCCCCCGAGAAAACCCTAGCGCCGCCAGTCTCGCATTTATATACACCGATCTGGCATGCCGGCCGACCGCCTGACAGCGCCGCCTTGACCATCTGAGCTGGCTTGACCCATTGATAAAAAATCGGGTATTTATTTTGTCGAAAAACAGAAAGCAAAAGATCAGCAAATTGGACATATCACTTAAAACCAAGTCCTAAATGCTGTAACTTTGACAAACTTAGTCCATACCATGGAGGAGATTGATCGGATCGAGCACCTTAAGCAAGTTAGACGTCGCACTGGTTGAAGGGAAGTGCCACTAGAACTTGCACCGCGCTTGCAAAAACAAAGAAGACTTGATGCCGGCGGATTTTTTCCTCCCTTCTGTTTCCTTCAGAGAAGAAGGTAAGCCATCGTCGCCATCGTCGTCGTTGTCTCGTCGCTTGTGCCTCGCCGTTTGTACATCCCGGAATTCTTCGGATGCTGCTCGGACCGTGTCCGTTGTTCAGAAGAGAACGAGCGTACGTCGAGTCCCTTCCCGGCTTTTCTCTAACCATTGTAATGCATGCGGTGCTGGGCCGGCTGCTGCTGATTCAACGGCTGCGTGTACTGCGTGAAGGGCTGCGAGTACATTGGCCCCATGAGACCCTGGAAAAATACAAGCTTAGCTTCCTTGCTCGATTAATCAGCTCGTATTACCTGGTGGGCACCCAGACCGTAGTGAGCTTGAGCGGATGGATCATCTTGAGTGCGTTCGCCGAAGCCAACTTGGGTGAACAAGTTCTGTGATCCATGAGACAGGAAGTCCTGTTGTTTGTATGTAGCACGGAAAATCAGTCAACCAAAAGAAAAACTCAAACGAACGAACGAACGAACCTGAGGTACAAACTCGTTGTTTGAACCATAACCTTGCGAATTCTGATTCATGTAATCGCCAGGGTACGTGCCTTGGGTTCCCTGGGTGACGAAATCAACCCCATACATACCGGCCTGGAAGAAAGACAATGATAAAATAAAATAGAAGAAAGATCGCAAGCAATGTCTACCTGTGTTGAAAATTCTGGTCCATTGTATCCCACATGAGAGCCCTGAGATTTGAAATCCTCGGCCAGAAAATCCTGAAGAAAGAGGTTTAACGAATGACTAAATAATATCGAATCACAAAAACGCACCTGTGACATCCCTCCCAATGAATATCCTTCCCTCAAATTCTGGCTCAAGCCCTGTGATGGCATCCAAAAATTGTTAACAGCCCCGAGACAAAAGAAAATACATTACCTGAGTCATTAGTCCCTGCTGAGTAAGCGGCCCACCCATGGAAGGCTGGCTAGATGGATTGTCCAGTCCAAAGTTAAAGCCACCAATTCCTCCCAACCCTTGGGATGGTTGATGATGGGATAGGTGGCCACCTATAGGTCCCCCGGCGTTGCCACGACCACCATAGCCTCTATTCCCTGGAACTCCACCGATTGGTCCGTGAAGAGTACCGCGCGGTGGAATGGCGTAAGGCTGCGTATGCGGACCGCCGGGAAAAGGAGGAAGCGGCATCCGCGGTTGCGGGAAGCCAGGATGAGGAATGCCTCCTTTGTGAGGAATAGCACCAAATGGCATGTAGCCACCTACAAGGATAATCGGTGAATAATTCTCAATCTCACATAAAAATACACGAGTACCTCCACGACCTTCCACAACTTTGCCACGACCACTGCGTTTATCGTATGGCCCTGCAGCGGCAGGAACAACTCCAACTCCAACAGGACCATAAACTCGTCGATCGTGGAAGATCTACACGAAAAGTGTTAAAATGGAATAAATGCTCCAAACTACGTATACCTTTTTAGGCTTCTGAAACTGCACCATGCTTTGCTTCAAATTATTCAGAGGTCCCTCGACCAAGCATTCGTGCTCCTGAAAGTTAAAAGCGTTTTATCATGTGCAAATGTATGAATTTCCAGCTTTAGATACCTTGTAATGTGATAAGAGACCATTCCAAAGAGCTTGCTTACTCAGAACCTTGGGATTGCCTAGGATAACAATTCCAAACCGAGCTCGAGTAAGCGCCACGTTCAATCTTCGGGGATCGTTCAGAAAACCAATGCCCTGTAAAGATCGATAAGATTTCATTGAGTTATAAAAGACGTGCACCTGATGTTCGTTGCTTCTAACACAGGATAATATGATGTAGTCCTTTTCACGTCCCTGAAAGGAGTCGACACTGGCGACCTGCATTTTCACTTCAGACAACACCGCACACCTACTAAGAAACACACCTCGATCTCTTTGTACAACTGCTGTCGAAGGTTTCCATTTCTAGCCATATGGCTAACAATGTAGGCTCGCTGACCTTCGTATGGAGTGATAACACCAATCTACAGCGAATATAAACGTTTACTTCAAGGAATGGCCATTGAACTTTGGTATTTACCTGACTAGGTACAACACCACTCTTCAGGAACGTGCTCACGATTTTTTCGACATTGGCAGCCTCTGTCCTATTCAGGTAGGATGTCCCGCTTGCACTGATTTCCTCTTGGCCCATCTGAAGAACTCGAAGGTCCTACTTCACAATAACAAACTTGAATTAAGACCCACCTGAACGTAGAAGAACATTGGGCGTGTAGGAACAGGCCATGGGAAGTCAGTACCAGATGAAAGCCTCTCGTTCATTGAAATGCCGTTTTGCAGTGTTCCTTCGTAAAAGCTATTGGAGGGAAACTCGGACAAGCAAGGGTGCATTCGATATTGCACCTGTAACACAATGTCCTTCAGACCGTAGATAAACAGCTTTAAAGTTACATACCTGAAGACGAATGGGTTTTACTCCCAAAAGTACAAGCCTTTCAAACAGTGATTGTGCCAGACCAGCACGCGCTGCTTTTTTGCACATAATCACAGGTCCTAGTTGACAGTGATCGCCGACAAGAACAACCTACAGAGACTCGAGGTTTTGAAAAAACTCAATCCAATAAGTCATACTGACCTGCTTAGCACCCAGAACCAGAGGAATAAGGCATTCCGGTTCAGTTGCTTGAGTCGACTCATCGATGAGAACCTAGCAACAAAATTATCAGGAAAAAACAATTTTTTTATTCAAAATACCTGTCGAAATCTGAAGTTTGCGAGGCGAGGATCTCCAGCACCAACACAAGTACAGCATATAATATCAGCACTTTGGGCAATTTCACGCTCTGTTGCCCTTTTCAAAGCTTTGTATTTCTTTTCATCGGCACTTGAAAGCTCGCCTGTATATAAATATATTCAGAAAAACATTTGGTTGTGCATCTTTGCTCACCTTGTTCATCTTTCAGCATTTGCAGCTTGTGTAGTTCACTTTTATCAGATGTATCCAAGTGCCTAACCTGAAAAAGGCTTTATTAGATTTTTGAAATGATCTCCAAATGCACAAACCTGATAATGTAAAGTAAGATGTTCGACAGGCGAACTGACAGCTTCTCTGGACTTCGCACATAGCCGCACAACCTGTCCAGAGACTGTTAAGTCAACGTTGACGTGCAACAAGCATGTAACCCACCTTCAAGCCAGTCGCACTGATCTTCTCCGCGAGTTGATCAACCGCAACGTTACTTGGAGCACATACTAGGACCTGCAAAGAATTTTAAATTATTGTTACAATCCAATGTATGTGACTGGTAATACCTGTCCTTGCCCTTGTTTCGCCAAGTGGTAAACAATTGCCGCGGAAGTCACCGTTTTACCAGTTCCAGGTGGACCTTGAATGAGGCTAACAGGCTTTTGCAATACGTGTTTAACAGCATAAACCTATAAATGCACACAAGTTAGAAGATCAACAATTATTTTTAGAAGCTAAAAACCTGCGAAGCATTCAGGTCGGGCAGACCTGGAGCAGCAAACCTCCTCGGCAATGTATTTCGCACAGTTTGAGACTCCACCTCGTGACCCAAAAGTCGGTGATAGATGTATCTGGTATTGAAACCAAGTTATACTTTATACTCTAAAATTAAACGGGTACTTACCCGCTGACACTGGTCTCATCGACGGCAAAGGTTTTCATAGCAGCTTGCATCCTGTCGAAACTGGTGCTTTTCCAAACAAAGTCCACGCTAAAATTATGAAGCACATCAGTTGGAACCCCCTGCAAGAAAGAAAAAAGTAAATGACACGTTATCTTAGCCAAAGCAACCAATACCTGGCTCGCTCGAAGCTCTAAAGCAACCTCCTCTTGCGCGGTCAGTTTAATCTGAATGAAGTATCTTAGTTAGATCCTCCTATGCACGTCATATATGATATGAATACGGCGGTACTGTACCACATGCCCAACCGACTGCCAAGCAGGATGAGAACTGTCACCAGAATACCGCAGACGCAGTTCGTCGCCGGGTACAAGCCTCAGTTCATTGTCTTCCTGTAACCAAAAGACTTAAAAACCTGTGCAACCATCTGTCAGACATACCTTTGGAAACACAAAGTACGCAATGCGCTTTTTGTTCAGCCCAACGTCCCAACGAACGGTAATGTTGTCCTTACTTTGAGATTCTTTCATCATCTACGATCCAGGCACCAGTTAGATCAAAGAAGCCAATGAAAAATCCAACCTTATCGTAATCGGCTTCAAGCTTCACTAGCGGCCCAAAAACATTTTGATACTATTAAGAAAAAACAATAAAGGTAAGTAAAAGAAACTATCTGAAGCAAGAAACTTATCACCTGATAGGCATCTTCGTATTTTAGCGCGACGGGTTGTGGTTCATCATCAACTCCAGGTTTTTCAAGGTCTTCTAATGTCGCATCCGGGTTTGTCTTCCAAAGCTCTTCCACCTTATTTATTTGTTGCGCGCTGATTTGTCGTGCCCGTAGCTGTTCCTGCTCGGAAGGAACCTGTAGAAGTTCGAAGAGTAAGAGAACTATCCAGACATAAGAAACGGATGTACCTTTACAAGCCAGTGAAGAAAACAGCGATCATCTATAAGCGGCTGCCACTGACTTAGATCAAAGTTCATGTCTTTCAAGCCGCTGACACTTAAGCAAGGCTCACGGCACAAGAGCACTACAACACTCTCGGACTTGGCAGAGATATAACCCAGCAAAAACACATTGCGGCAGCCACAGTTGTAGCATTCGAGAATAGTTTCTCCGAGCGGGCTATCTTTGTGAAGGCAAACCTCCTTGTGCTTAGCTCGAACCTGCGAAAGGAAGAACCACGTATTAGCTTCGAAGAAACCAAAGCAAATAAACGTACGAGGTGATTCACAATGTGTGAGCCGGAAGTGTTGCCGCGGGAATTACAAAACCACTTGCGGCAAGTAGGAACGTTGCATCGCGCGACACAAGCCGGGTTGTGTATTCCACAGTACTTGCAAGCGTGCTCTGGAAGCGCCCTCTTGGAATAATCCTGGCTATCATCTTCCCCAGTGTCTTCAAAGTTAAGATCACTGATACTTGCCGATAGCGCATTCAAAGCTGCCTGATTGCTCTTGGCCTCTGTCGCAGGATCACTGGCCCCAGTGCTCGCTGCTGCCGCCGCCGCCGCCGCTGCTCCAGTCGCGGCCGCGGCATCGTCGCCAGCATCCGGCGGCGTGACACTGACGCTGAAGGACGCCGCCTCTGGCCACACCGACGCCGGACGAACGGGCTGGCTCAGCTCGGTAAACTCTGGATAGTCGAATTCGTCCCCCTGCGTGTTGAATTCCAGGAATGTGTAGGCATCGCTGTGCGATTGCGTCGCGGCGTCGAAGATGCTGTGCGATGGCGCCGATGGAGCCGACATCCCGGAAGAAATCACTCACCTCGCGCCTCGCAGACGCACCTCCTCCTCCAGCAAAATATTTCTGCTGGTGTTCTAACCTAAAATCCCAGGGCTAATCCTTACCGTCGGCTATCGCGTTTACGTGGCACCATTTTACATTTAGGGCAAGGAAAGCTCTCTAGAAGCTTGGCGATGGGCGCGAGTCACAGCAACCTCGTCCATGCCGCGAGCGAGGAGGCGGGGGTGAAAGCGGCGGAGCTTCCAGTGGTAGAGACTGCTGCGCCGACCAGACAGGAAGCGGTAAGAAATCTTTCTCCAGCTTTGAGAAATTTCGAGATTCTTGCTCTTCCCTAGGAACTGCCAGTTCCGGCCGAGGAGTCCTCTGACTCTCCTTCTGATTCCACTGCTCATGCATCCAATCCGGATTCTTCTTATTCCGAGCTCCAAGAAGAAGAAAAGGAGCATGCATCGCAAGAAGGAGCTGCTGCTGGCGAAGACGCTGGAGACAATGGAGAGAATTTAGTCCAGGAAGAGCCGGAGGAGGAGAAAGAAGAAGAAGAAGAAGAGCAACCAAAGCCCAAACTCACGGTAAGATCACAAAACTTCCTAGTTTTTTCTTCTTGTTCAATGCTTGGTTCTTTCGTTCCAGGTCGAGGACGTCTTGAATACAAAGACTGCTCCATTTGATATCCGGTTTCCATCGACCAACCAAACCAAGCACTGCTACACTCGCTACATTGAATATCACAAGTAAGTTTCTTTCGCTTCTTCAGTCTTTACAGTTTTTGCAAATAGGTGCCGCAAAGAAAGAGGACCTGACGCTCCGGAGTGTGACAAATATGCCAGATACTATCGCTCTCTGTGCCCCTCCGAATGGGTAAGTCCTTTCTTTTAAATCTGTTCGTGATAGATACAGATGCGTAACTGGTGCTACTATCTACAGATTGAGAGATGGAACGAGCAGAGGGAGATGGGTGTCTTTCCCGGACCTTATTAGGCAGGCTGCCGAGTTCAAATAAAATTTAGCTGGCGAGTACCAAGCACGATAAGTAAGTAGACAACTCACATTTTCGAACAAAAACAGGCAGGTGTGTCCCGAAAGAATGCGCTGTGAGTGTTCTCCATTCTTTGGTACTCATGTCAACCACTTTCTTCTTCAATCTCAAGCCAGATCTCAAACGAACTCGGGATCACTGGGTCTGGGAAGTCAGTAGCACTTCCTTCGAGCATTTGCACCACGGTTTTCATGCTGGGCCGGTTGATCTCGTCGTCCTGCACGCACCAGATAGCAGTCTTGGCAGCCCGGCGTAGCTCGTCTTCATCCCACTCTTCAAGACGATCATCTGGCAACTTCGCGAACTCACCGTTGCGAACTTGCTGAGAAGCCCAGAATGGATAGAAAGGTTGTTTGCTCTGGACGTTCACGTTCCTGCGACCACTGATGATCTCCAGCAGCGTCATCCCGTAGCTGTAGACGTCGGCTTTGGGGGTGATGGGCATGTTTGACAGCCACTCTGGTGCAAGGTAGCCGCGGGTTCCTCTCATGCTCGTCACAACTCGGCTGAACTCTCGTCCCATAAGCTTGGCCAGGCCAAAGTCGCCGACTTTCGGTTTCATCTCAGCGTCCAGGAGAATGTTCTCCGGCTTGATATCGCAGTGGATGATCCGGTCTCGACACTCCTCGTGAAGATATGCAAGTCCTTTGGCAGTCCCGAGAGCAATTCCGAACCTTTGGCTCCAGCTGAGCACGATAGAGTTTTCAGCATCTCGGTTGAAGAGGCTCCTGTCCAGTGATCCTCTCTCGACGAACTCATACACCAGGAGCCTCTGCAGCGCCCCATCCGCACAGAATCCTCGAAGACGGACGAGGTTCATGTGCTGGATGGTGCCGATGGTGCTCACCTCCGCTCGAAACTGCTTGTCATCGAACCTCATCAGCCTCTTGACAGCCACGGCCTCGCCTTGGATGCTGCCTTTGAAGACTTCTCCAAAGCCTCCGCTGCCGAGCTGCTTCCTGAAGCCATCGGTGGCCGCATGGAGCTGCTTGAACGTGAAATGAGCGAGCTCGCCACTAACAAAGTTATAGCCGGAACCATCACTGCTGCCACGTCCGGAGCTCACTCTCTTTGCCTTGCGTCTTCTCCTGACGATCACAAACGCCGCTACTCCAGCCAGCAGCAGCAGCACGACACCAGCTCCGGCTCCGACTCCGATGGCAACTCCCGAGTTCTTGGAAGAACTTCTCCGTGCTTGGCTCGAGAGAGCGGTGCAGCCTTCGGCCCAGTCCTCGGTTCTCCAGTTGGTGCCGTTGCTCGGGCTCGATCCGGTGGGACAACTACAGGGTGGATTCGAGTTGGTCGAGCAAACCGAGTTTGATCCGCAGAGAGAAGTCACGCCGCAGATGTTAGCCGGGACGACCCAGGGGGTGTACCAGTTTCCGTTTCCATCCAGCTGCTTCACCTCGATCCTTCCATCGTGCCCGAGGCGAAAGATGGAGTGCTGGAAGCTCTTCTCGAACCAAGTGAAGTATGGAGGATTGGTGGCGTTGAAGATGAACGTGTAGAGATAGTTGTCGGTCATCTGCGGTACCAGCGAGAAGATCCTGCCGTTCCAGGCACCGGACGTCCAGTACTCCCGCGACGTATCATTCGTGGTGGAGATGACGAACTCGGTAGAGGTTCTCATGGTCATGACGAATCGCCCACTAGCCGGAGAGACGCTCGACTTCCAGGCCGTGAGGTTGTCTCCCAGGAACATCTTCATCCTTGGGACCCAGGCATCCGCCGGGTGATCGAAGCTCTGCCAGGGATACGTCGCGTTATCGTCACTCGGATCGAAGGAGTCGTCAGTGAGGACGAAGTTGCCCGAATCCAGGAGTACCGCTTGGGTGGTTCCCGAGTTCCTGGAGCTGGGAGCGCCAGACCATATGATACTCCCCCTATCGATGATCTGGAGCTCGCCTTCGCTCGTGAGGAGGAGCGAGGCGTTGGAACTCACCGGGGCATCGCGATTTGCGATCCAGATGGGGATGAATTCGCTGGTTCTTGTGTTGAAGGAGATGCCCAAGTAGAGATCACTGCTGCTGCCACTGGTAAGCGAGAAAAACTCGAGCTTGACCGTGCCATTTGTCGAGATGAGGGATTCCGTGGCGAGCAGGCGCGATCCCAGCGGCATTCGATCGTCGGCGAGCGCGGTCGAGAGGAGAGCGAGGAAGAGGAATTGGAGCAGCGCCATGATCTTCGCCGAGACGGCGACAAGGACTCGTGAGGGCATAGCTATATCAGTCTTCCTCTTGTGCGTGTGGTCAATTACTCGTGCTACACTGCCGCGTTTCTAGTAGTGTCATTATACATGATTAAGGTTTGACTAGTTGAGGACTTCTGCTGTCTAAGTCATGGAGGAAACCATCGCGGCAACTCCAATGCTTGATCTTCTCAATCTCCTTTGGCGATGATCGATTACAGCTGGGATCACGTCTGCTCACCAGATAGATACTATCGCTCTCTGTGCCCCTCCGAATGGGTAAGTCCTTTCTCTTTTTATCTGTTCGTGATAGATACAGAAGCGTAATCGTGTGCTGCTATCTACAGATTGAGAGATGGAACGAGCAGAGGGAGATGGGTGTCTTTCCCGGAGTTCAAATAAAATTTAGCTGGCGAGTACCAAGCACGATAAGTAGACAACTCACATTTTCGAACAGAAACAGGCCGGTGTATCCCGAAAGAATGCGCTGTGAGTGTTCTCCATTCTTTGGTGCTCATGTCAACCACTTTCCTCTTTAATCTCAAGCCAGATCTCAAACGAGCTCGGGATCACTGGGTCTGGGAAGTCAGTAGCACTTCCTTCGAGCATTTGCACCACGGTTTTCATGCTGGGCCGGTTGATCTCGTCGTCCTGCACGCACCAGATAGCAGTCTTGGCAGCCCGGCGTAGCTCGTCTTCATCCCACTCTTCAAGACGATCATCTGGCAACTTCGCGAACTCACCGTTGCGAACTTTCTGAGCAGCCGAGAATGGATAGAAAGTTCGGTTGCTCTGGACGTTCATGTTCCTACGACCACTGATGATCTCCAGCAGCGTCATCCCGTAGCTGTAGACGTCGGCTTTGGCGGTGATGGGCATGTTTGACAGCCACTCTGGTGCAAGGTAGCCGCGGGTTCCTCTCATGCTCGTCACAACTCGGCTGAACTCTCGTCCCATAAGCTTGGCCAGGCCAAAGTCGGCGACTTTCGGTTTCATCTCAGCGTCCAGGAGAATGTTCTCGGGCTTGATATCGCAGTGGATGATCCGGTCTCGACACTCCTCGTGAAGATATGCAAGTCCTTTGGCAGTCCCGAGAGCAATTCTGAACCTTTGGCTCCAGCTGAGCACGATAGAGTTTTCAGCATCTCGGTTGAAGAGGCTCCTGTCCAGCGATCCTCTCTCGACGAACTCGTACACCAGGAGCCTCTGCAGTGCCCCATCCGCACAGAATCCTCGAAGACGGACGAGGTTTATGTGCTGGATGGTGCCGATGGTGCTCACCTCCGCTCGAAATTGCTTGTCATCGAACCTCATCAGCCTCTTGACAGCCACGGCCTCGCCTTGGATGCTGCCTTTGAAGACTTCTCCAAAGCCTCCACTGCCGAGCTGCTTCCTGAAGCCATCGGTGGCCGCATGGAGCTGCTTGAACGTGAAATGAGCGAGCTCGCCATTAACAAAGTTATCATCACTGCTGCTCACTCTCTTTGCCTTGCGTCTTCTCCTGACGATCACAAACGCCGCTACTCCAGCCAGCAGCAGCAGCACGACACCAGCTCCGGCTCCGACTCCGATGGCAACTCCCGAGTTCTTGGAAGAACTTCTCCGTGCTTGGCTCGAGAGAGCGGTGCAGCCTTCGGCCCAGTCCTCGGTTCTCCAGTTGGTGTCGTTGCTCGGGCTCGATCCGGTGGGACAACTACAGGGTGGATTCGAGTTGCTCGAGCAAACCGAGTTTGATCCGCAGAGAGAAGTCACGTCGCAGATGTTAGCCGGGACGGCCCAGGGGGTGAACCAGTTTCCGTGTCCATCCATCCGCTTCACCCTGATCTTTCCATCGTGCCCGAGGCGAAAGATGTAGTGCTGGAAGCTCGTCTCGAACCAAGTGAAGTATGGAGGATCATTGGTGGCGTTGAAGGTGAAGGTGGAGAAATCGTTATTCATCTGCGGCACCAGCGAGAAGATCCTGCCGTTCCAGGCACCGGACGTCCAGTACTCCCGCGACGTATCATTCGTGGTGGAGATGACCAACTCGTTAAAGGTTCTCGTGGTCATGACGAATCGCCCACTAGCCGGAGAGACGCTCGACTTCCAGGCCGTGAGGTTGGCTCCCACGAACATCTTCATCCTTGGGACCCAGGTATCCCCCGGGTGATCGAAGCTCTGCCAGGGATACGCCGCGTTATCGTCTCTAGGATCGAAGGAGTCGTCAGTGAGGACGAAGTTGCCGGAGTCCAGGAGTACCGCTTGGGTGGTTCCCGAGTTCCTGGAGCTGGGAGCGCCAGACCATATGATACTCCCCCTATCGATGATTTGGAGCTCGCCTTCGCTCGTGAGGAGGAGCGAGGCGTTGGAACTTACCGGGGCATCGCGATTTGCGATCCAGATGGGGATGAATTCGCTGGTTCTTGTATTGAAGGAGATGCCCAAGTAGAGATCACTCCTGCTGCCACTGGTAAGCGAGAAAAACTCGAGCTTGACCGTGCCATTTGTCGAGATGAGGGATTCCGTGGCGAGCAGGCGCGATCCCAGCGGCATTCGATCGTCGGCGAGCGCGACCGAGAGGAGAGCGAGGAAGAGGAATTGGAGCAGCGCCATGATCTTCGCCGAGACGGCGACGAGGACTCGTGAAGGCCCTCTTGTGCGTGTGGTCAATTACTCGTGCTACACTGCCACGTTTCTAGTGGTGTCATTATACGTGATTAAGGTTTGAGTAGTTGATGAAGGCCTCGAAGTCATGGAGAAAACCAAATGGTTACTCCAATGCTTGATCTTCTCAATCCCCTTTGGCGATGATCTATTTGGCAAATGGTACAGTCCGGCTCGACTTCTTCCCAGGCGACAATGGTCGTTTCTACTTCACCAGGTTAGCCGGGGACTTCATCCCCATCTAGATTGCAAATCGCGACACTCCGGTGAGTTCCAACGCCTCGCTCCTTCTCACTCACAAAGGCGAGCTCCAAATCATCGATAGGGGCAGTATCATATGGTCTGGAACTCCAAGCTCCAGGAACTCAGGAATCACCGAAGCGATGCTCCTGGAGTCCTCACTGACAACTCCTTCGATCCTGGAGACGACAATGCGATGGATCCCTGGCAGAGCTTTGATCACCCAACGGATGTCTGGGTCCCTGGGAGCCAACTTCACAGCCTGAATCTCGAAAGTCTCTCCAGCTCGCGGGCGATTCGTCATGACAGTGAGAACCACTGCCGAGTTCGTCATCTCCACCACGAATGATACGTCGCCGGAGTTCTGGCCGTCGGGTGCCTGGAACACCTCGGAGATAAACGAAAACTATACCTTCGCCTTCAACACCAGCAATGATCCTCCTTAGATCACTTGGTTCGAGAAGAGCTGCCAGCACTCCATCCTTCGTCTCGGACATGATGGAAGGATCGAGACTGGATATATACGGAAACTTGGTACACACCTGGGTTGTGCCGACTAACATCTGCAGCGTACCTTCTCTCTGCGGTCCAAACTCGATGTGCTCGTATACCTCTCTGATGCCATGTAGTTGTCCCACTGGGTCGAGACAGGCCAACGAGGACTGGGCTCAAGGGTGCACCACTTCTTCCAAGATCTCCAGAATTGCTGTCGGAGTTGGAGCTGGAGCCGCGTTGCTACTGTTGCTTGGACTTATAATCGGCATCATGAGAATTCTCAAGACCAAGAAAGTACCAAGCAGTGGCAAGTGTAAGAGCGACGACTTTGCTGGTGGCGAGCTCGCTCATTTCACGCCCAAGCAGCTCCATGCAGCCACGGATCGTTTCAAGCAGCGGTCTTCAAAGGGTGTTACATCGAAGGAGAGGCTGTGGCTGTCAAGAGGCTGATCAAGTTCGAACCAGAGCTGAGCACCATTTCAACACATCAACCTCGTCCGGCTTCGAGGATATTGTGGCAAATAAAGGCTCCTGGTGTACGAGTTCGTCGAGGGAGGATCGCTGGACAGGACCCTCTTCAACCGAGATCTAGACGGAGCTGAAAACTCGGTCGTGCTCAGCTGGAGCCAAAGGTTCGGGATTGCTCTCGGGACTGCCAAAGAACTTCCATATCTTCACGAGGAGTGTCGAGACCGGATCATCCACTACGACATCAAGCCTGAGAACATCCTCCTGGATGCCGAGATGAAACCCAAAGTTGGCGACTTTGGCCTGGCCAAGACGAGAGTTTAGCCGAGTTGTGACGAGCATGAGAGGAACCCGCGGCTACCTTGCACCAGAGTGGCTGTCAAACATGCCCATCACCCCGAAAGCCAACGTCTACAGCTACGGGATGACGCTGCTGGAGATCATCAGTGGTCGCAGGAACATCGACTTCCGAAACGACCAGATCGTCTTCTATCCCCTGTGGGCTTCTCAGCAAGTTTGCAACGGTGAGTTCTCGAAGTTGCCAGGTGATCGTCTCGAAGAGTGGAATGAAAAAGAGCTACGCTATTTGGTGCATCCAAGACAGCGAGAAGAATCGAAAACCGTGGTGGAAATGCTCGAGGGAAACACCAAGGCTTATTTTCCAGAGCCGTGTGTTCCAAGTTCTCTCGACTTGTGGCTTGATATTCAAGAAGAAACAACCATGCCAGTAGACAACGAAGATCAAACACAAAATCTTTCGAGCTCAAATTTTAAATTTAAATATTCCGTTTGCTTGTTTAAATATTCCTTTGGCTGGAGCCCTAGTTTGAGCTATGGCGGTGGAGCTCGGCTCAGACGTGGAGCCCGAGTCTTCCACGTTCTGCATCAATGACGAAGATCACACCTTCGGCAACTCTATTCGCTACGTTCTCAACGGCGAGTAAGCGCTCTATTCTTCTTCTTCTTTGCTCGAATCTCTGGATTCTTTCGATTTCTCCAGCCCTCGCGTCACATTTTGTGGCTACAGCGTTCCTCATCCATCCGACAACCGTGTAAACGTTCGTGTGCAAACCACAGGCAAGTAACAGAGAAGATCGATCAACTCTCTCCTTTCTCTCGATTCTTTCTCGTGTTTGTAGACGATGGATCATATGTTTATTTTTTTCACAGGTGAATCTGCAAAGTCCGTCTTTAAGGATGCTCTGCGAGACCTCGTTCTCATTTGTGATCACGTATGCAGCGCGTTTGACGACTCCGTCGCGAGTTTCAAGCGTAGCCAGCAGCAGCAGTAAAATCGTTCCTCGATCGTCGAAGAACGTTTGCGAAGTTTAAGTTGCTGGCTCGATCGTCAAGAGTTTGCCGTCGTCACCACTTCTTCGCTTTTGCTATCCTCGTTCTCTGTTACGTCGCCGTCGTCTATCTCTTCGTCGTGTTGCTCCACGGGTTTTTGTTTCCTGTGCTCGCAACCTTTTGCTTCTTCATCAATCGCCATACTTTCACTCTCGTGTTGTTCTTGGGCTGGAGTAGCTTTTGGTTCTGGCTGTGCTTCTTGTGCCACGATTGGTGATCGATAAAACGCTGCTGCTGTGGAGCTTTGCTGGAGAGCGGCGGCTGCGAACTCGCTCGCCCAAATCCCACTTACAACAACGACCTGTGCTCCTCCCGGTTCAGAGGTCTGTGACGTGGTCACCGTGGGCCTTCTCGTATGCAACCGGTATTTCTAGACGTTCCCAAAAGTCAGTGCCAGTTCAGAGATGGAAAAAGTTTTGTCTACCTGAAGATGGCTCTTGACTTCGTCGTTCGTAAGTCCATCTACTTTCATGATCTCTCTTATCTGCTTAGGCGTAGCGACTGTCACCAACAAATCGAGCTTGTCATCAGAGATTGAGCAAGAAGGAAAAACGTTTTACCGTGAGAACCTCCAAGTTGCTGCAGTGCGTTTAAGAATCGCCTGTGGAGCTCCGGGGACCAACACCGCCGAGCTTTACGTTGGCTGTTTGATTCAAACTGCGAAGATGTGGTGCTGCGAGCTGCCGTGGTCGTCGCTTCTACAGTCCGCTTCTCCACCGTGGGACGAGTTTCCTCGACCACTCCACTCCGTGGACTACTTTCCGAGGACGAGAGCGTCAATCCAGCATCGCTAGTGCTTCTCAAGCCCGGTTTCTCCTCAGTGCTTGGAGCTGCTCTCACGAAAGGTGAGAACGCACCGCCAGAGTTTGCAAAGATTCCCGGGACTGCGTGCTTGGCTTGAGGACGTGTTGGCGATTCTTTCTGAAAAAAACGACAAGATCATCGAAAGAACTTCTATAAACAATAGATTTCTACCTGTGTTTTGATTTGTTTCGCCTCACTCCACAGCTGAACCTGGGCCATCCAGCTTGGTTTGTCTAGGTCCGGATCACAAGCTTTCTCGTCTCGTTTAGATTCCTCCTCCAAAGTTTTTGGTGGAATAAATTCCTCGAGCACGGAATCAGACTTCGCTGTGACACTGTCGTGTCCGATCGCTTCGTCTCTGTAAGAGCAGCTTAGTTTTAGCAGCGAAGAAGCAGTGGATGCATCGTTGTGCTGCTGCTCGGCCAAGTGGAGTTTCAAGGCTTCTATGGCTGGAAAACAAGAACAAACCAAGATATTGTCACACACGGCTCCAAAATCTTGCTGGAGAAGAAATCTACTTACCCTCCGTGATGATGTCCATGCACAGCGGGAGCTCTCGCTTAAAAGCCTCGATCTTTCGGCGCTCCCCTTCCAAGGCCGTCACGCAGCCTTCGAGATTATCTCCGCCGAAAGAGAATGCCTTGGCCGATCCGCACGGATTCAGCTGCAGCTTCCATCCTAATGCTAGCGCGGAGCTCATCCTCGCAATCTATCCTGCGATCAAGCATCCGGCATTAGGCGCTCCCGATTAAATCGCAACGAGAGATTGTGCGCACAAACCTGGCCCCGCGATCGATCAAAGTTCGTAGAACAAGAATCGCCGCTCGAGCGATCGCCCTGACCTAGATGCGGAGAGAATGCTGTTAGCTCGCTACCATTTCCCAAATTCCCACGTTTTCTTCTCCCTCTTTTCGAGCAGCTTTTCTGCCGGTTGACGCGTACGTCCGCCTATATGACGGGTACGATCGAGAATATCCCGGATAAGGATAAGGTATATCCGAATAGGCGGAAGGATCTCCTATTCGCACTCGTGAAAGGTCGCCGCGTAGGAGAATCTATGAATATCCATGGCTTACAATATTCCAGATTCGAATATCCAGTAGATTCGGCTAGAATCCACGTTTTAATCCTGTCTCACGTGGAAGATTCCTTTAGGGTTCTTGAGGGATTTTGAAAATTTCCGCCAAAAGTTTTATTTTCTCATGAAACGGGGCTTAGGGCTTGTTGATCTACCAGCGAGGCAGTCAAATCCTTGTGCCATCAAGGACGGCGCAGCAGCTGACCTTTCAAGATCACGAGAGCGACGGGACGACTTTGGCGAGGTAGGCCATGGATCGGAGCGCTGGCTAACCACAGATTTCATCGCCAAGGGGAAATCGGGGGTCATTCACACACGCATTGCGAGAAAGCGGTAGCAGCTCAGTTCCGGGGTCCATATCGGAATTCCCCGCGCAACGCCAAGCAATCAATGCTGTGATGGTGAAGTTCGCCGCGCGTCTTCTTCTTGACGTGCTGCTGAGCTTCGGCTGTGATTTTGCTGCCCTGGGCGATAAGAGGGCTTTTCGGGCGAGCATATTTTCGTCATGGCAGGTGGAGGGGGAAGCGATCCTTCTACGAACACCAGGTCGCTCGAGTATACCCCAACATGGGCTGTGGCAGCAGTGTGTTTCATGTTCGTCATCGTTTCTTTGATCGGCGAGCGATCGTTGCATCATCTGGGAATTGTAAGGATTACTCTGTTTCGTTTTTCTTTTTTTCTTCGAATCAAGTTCTAACTTTTCTTTCTTCATCACAGTGGCTTTCCAGAACAAAGCGGAAGCCTCTTAGAACAGCATTGGAGAAAATGAAAGAAGGTAAGGAATTTTCTCTGCGAATTTGGTGCAAGTTTACATTCTTACTGGAGCTTTTCTTGGTGGTTACAACAGAGCTGATGCTACTGGGATTTATTTCTCTGATCATCACCGTCACTGCGTCCTATATTTCCAAGATATGTATAAGATCGTCATTCTATGATAAGCAGCGAATGCCTTGCAAGCTGCCTCACAAAGGCGACGCTACATATGATCGAATGATGGGCACAAGTTTGCTGGAAATCCCTCGTCGAGAACTGGCATCCACAGCGCATTCTTGTCCAAAGGTAAGCGATCAATATCTTTTCGAGATAGCCTTCAAAGTGAAAATTTTGAACAGGAACACGAGCCTTTTGTCTCGTTCCTGGGCTTGGAACAGCTCCACCGCTTCATCTTTGTCATGGCAGTAACTCACGTTATCTATTCATGCTTGACAATGCTCCTGGCTATTATGAAGGTTCGTTCTCGATCAGAAATTTTGAGGACTTCGTCTGAATTTTGTCTTCTTTCCTTACTTGATTTTACAGGTATATAGCTGGAGGCCTTGGGAGCAAGAGGCCTTTGCCCACGCAGACAATCAAGAAAATCTTGCAGGTGAACATTTGTCAAGAGAGAGAATTCTTCCTGTTTTAATTGTGTTCTTGGCTAATGCAGCGCTGACCAGGAACTTAACACTCAAAAGGCAATCTACGTTCGTAGCGTGTCAGACGAGCACACCCGGCGCCAGCAACAGGCTTCTTCTCTATTTTGTTTGTACAGTTGTTGTTAGTCGTCATGTTTGGTGCTGACTTTTTTTTTCAGATTTGCTTTTTCCGTCAATTCGGTCTTTCGGTCACAAAGCCGGACTACCTTGCATTGAGGATGGGGTTTCTCACGGCACGTCTCTTCGGTGCTAATTTTGATGCGGTTGAGATGACACTTCCATTTTGCAGAAGCATAATCTTGGACCGAAGTATGACTTTCATCTTTACATGATTCGATCAATGGAGGACGAGTTTAAAGATATCATTGGAATAAGGTAAACCGTAGCAAGACTTTCATAGCATACTGCTAATTTCTAAGTTTCTCTCAGTCCGCTCCTGTGGATCTTTGTTGTCTTGTTCATGCTCTTCAATGTGGAAGGTAAGGCATTCTTTTGTTTAAAGACATTGTTATATGTGACATTTGATATTTTGCAGGGACAAACTTATACTTTTGGATTTCTTTCCTTCCTATTGTGGTACGTTCTTAACTTTACTGCGACCAAGGATTCTTGACAGACAACGTAGCATGCAGATGGTTCTTGTCGTCGGCACTAAATTGCAACATATCATAGCGACGCTTGCCCTGGACAACTCTGGTTTATCTGGTCCGCTTAATGGATTCAACTTGAGACCTCGTGATGAACTCTTCTGGTTCAAGAGGCCACGTCTTTTGTTGCGCGTCATACACTTCATACTTTTCCAGGTGGGATAAAACGGATCTAATGGTAGATTAACTTTGTATTTATAATTTATAAATTTTCCTAAGCACTTCCTAGTATATTCTAGTTTATTTTACTATCTTTTCTTACGTGAGTATTGCAGGTTGGTTTCGAGCTTGCAACGTTCTTTTGGATCTGGGTAATTTTGCTTATTCATTCCCGCAGGAAGTTTCTAATGGCTTGTATTAACTCTAGTGGCAATTTGGCTGGCACTCCTGCTACATGAGTCGAAGAACTTTCGTGTATGTTCGGGTGTTTTCTGGGTAAGTGAGTTTTGACTTTGCACCCAGACGCGTCCAGCTGACAAGCTTTTCTCTTCCAGATTGCTTGTGCAGATTCTGTGCAGCTACAGTACGTTGCCGCTCTACGCAATTGTCACGCAGGTACTGTCTCAAAAGTCTCTAATACAACGACTGACTTCTTTTATGCACAGATGGGCTCGAACGACAAAAAGTTAGCTGCTCTGAAAAGCTTTGGCAACTCTCTGTACGTGGGCAAAGGACAAGACAATAACGAGATTGGCTTCGTGCCAGAAAAACAAGCACCTTACAGCTACGAGCTGGGGCCACTTCACAAACCCAGGACCGTAAGTGACGCAGCTAGCTATTTCAGCTCCGAGAGCACGTACCACAGCAAGCACAACAGCGTCGAGCTGGACACCAGCGGCATCGAGGAATGGTACTTGAGCAAGCTCGGGGGCTATGGACGGGATTCCAGGCACTTGAGCTCGCGAGGCAGCGAGATCACAGGACCGCACAGCAAGCACAACAGCTTTGTGGCGGAGAGTTTCAGCGTCAAACACAGCAAGCACAACAGCATGGAGATACAGACGAGCACAGCAGGATTCTCCCAGCCGGGGATTGTGGACAGCAACTTTAGCTTCAAAGTGACAACCGATGCAGTTATCCCAACCGATGATACTGCCGGGCTTCTCAGCGAGCACAAAAGCGCTAGTGAGGAGGCTGATAGAGCAGTATCAACAGTAACTCCGCCACCACCACCACCAATCCACAGCAAACACGGGAGCTACAGCTCGGGAGGAGTCGACAACGATTCAAGTGCTCGTCACAGCAAGCACAGAAGCGTCAGTTAAAACACAAGGAAAGAAAAGAACCAAAAAGAAAAAACCGAAGCAAGAAAAAGTTTAAGAGTGACAAAGTTCGCTATGAGTTCATGAGTTCTTCCGCAATGATATCTCCACCCTCTCAAGAGCATCGTAAACTTCCTTCCGAGCGTACCACGTCCCAAGCTTCCATACAAGTTTGCTAGCAAGGTTCCAATAATCAGCAAGAATCGATCATTTGGTAAATATTAAGTTGTCGGATCTACGTAAATCTCTTACAAATCTTTCATAAGATCGCCTCCAAGTTAAAGGATTTAGATTCAGGGAAGAATCATAGATGTAGCAGCTCCAGTAAGCTGCTCTTTCATACGCTGGCGAGCAGCTTCTGGGGATGCATCAGCGTGCCACTCAATATGATCATCATCTCCGTCATCCTCTTCAAGGTTTTCATTCTTTCTGCTTTGGTTCTTTAGAATCACTTTGGCAGCCCTTTTATCTTTCTTGCTGCATCCAACGCGGCCGCTCTGACTGTAAAACTTCTTCATCACCTTGTTGCTGTCGAGGAGATCCACATCGGAAAGGTGGCCGCATGCTGCACACTTGAGACTTATCATCTTGTCCAGCAGAATATCAGTCTCCGGATTTCCGCACTTGTAACACTGAACATACTTCTCAATGAACCTGTCCAAGAGATCGCACAGCTTTGGAGTTTCGTGAGCGCCATTGACAATGAAAGTGTTGGTTTTGTCGTTGAAACTGGATTGTGCGCCAAGCTCACAGCCAAAGAACCTTGTTACATGTGCCGGGGAGCGTGAAAGTGCCTTAGCCACTTCCACCATATTCACAATGCTTGTCTTAATGCCATTGCCACGCCCGTGGATCTTGGTTGCCAGCTTTGGCATTTTGTACCTGCGTGCATTGGTCACCCATTAGAGCAAGCATTTCACAAACAATACCTGTAGAACGCATCATTGTTGTTTCTCAAACCAATATTCTGAAGTTCCATCATATCTCCAGTTGAGAGAATTTTTTATTCAGTGGTTTTTTAGCTAAATCAAACGATAGTCACAATATTTTTATGTTCTTCTTTTTATGGTTTGAAAAAATGCTATCCAATATATATTACTATTAAGTTATTATCATTATTTTATGCATGTATGTATACACATGTAAATATGACATTATTCCTATATACTTTAAAGCTCTTGTATTTCAAAAAGTTCTCTCAGCAATACTAATAAATTTTGATAAAAATTTTAAAGAGAAAATATTTTAATTGAAGTAATGTGCTAATTTATTATGACTTATCTATGTTATATCTTTAACCAACATTCTTTCATATTTTTTAATATATATTATTTAAAGTTTGTTTATTTCATATATCTTTATGCCTCATTTACGAATATTGACAGATTAAATAATATGTAAAATACTTAAACAAACTTTAAAAAATTATATATATTATTTAATCAGTCAATGTTCATAAATGAGGCATAAATATAAAATCACATTAAATTATAATATTATAGTATTATAGTTCTATTCTGAAGAAAAAATTAATTTACAGAATATTAGCTTTCATCGGGTCAATGATCCAAGTAAGCCCCTTAAACAGTTTTATAAGTATAAAACAGTAAAAAATTAAATATAATATTAAATAATATATTAATATTTATTTGCTACAAATTATTTTTTAGGGAAATTTAAAGTTTGTAACTATAAATATCTGGGTGACATATATTTTCTAATATAATAATAAATCAAAATTTGATATATTATATAGCATAATCTTTATTTTTAGAAACTTAATAAAAAATTGCTTAAAATTTTGTTACATTTATTTAAATAACTATAAATATTTTGAAAATTTAAAATTAATTTAATTATTTAACATTTTAAATGCTCTTGCTAAAATTTAAAGGTTTTGATTTTTTTCATGATTTATTAAATAAGTTATTAGTTCTAAAAGAAAAAACTTCTCAATTAATTTTCTTCATCAAATATATAATTGAGTCTAATTTTTATAAGAAACATCTTATGTTAATCTTTTTATAACAACCAAAAAAGGTATTAAAACCATCATGGGCACCTATAATTATTGGGATTATCCATGTCTGATTGTGAAATAGCAAAAGTCTTTCTTCATTTTCTTTTCTATATATGGCCAATCTCCTCTCTCGCGTCCCAATCAACTCATCCGGAAGTGTTGCCTAAAATGATCTCAGGCACGACCACCGTGATCCTTCTTGCACTCACAGCTTACTTGATGGGTGGTCATTTCACTCTTGTTGAACTCGTTGAGATCAACAAACATATTTGCTCGACCAAAAAACTTTTCCATTTCCATGAGTTCTTCCGCCTCATTGAAGACAATTGCTATGAAAACTTTTCCATTTCCATTAGTTCTTCCGTGTTGTTTTCTCCTCTCCCTCTCGCAAGAGCGTCAAAAACTTCCTTCCGAGCGTCCCACATTCCTAAGCTTCCATACAGATTAGCCATGAGAATGTATCCCACCTCCACCACCTTGGTACTCGCCTCAAGCAAAGACTCAAACGCTAGCTTCGCTACGCCCAAGTTCTTCCAACGGCAGCCAGCGGCCAACACCGTCGTCCATGTCAATCCAGTCGGCCTCACAGGCATGGAATCCACCATCGCCACCGCTTCCTCCAGCCGGTTTGCTCGACCCAGCAAATCGATCACGCAGTGGTAATGTTCCAGTCCCGGTTGAATGCCATAACTCCAGCTCATAACTTGGAAGTATTCCATGCCTCTCTCGACGAGCCCCGCGTGTCCACAGCTCGATATCACTGATAGAAACGTGATACCGTCGGGCTCCACGCCTTCGTCTAGCATGCTCTGGAAGTAGCTTAGAACTTGGTGGACGCTTCCCTGGCGACTTAATCCCGCTAGCAAGGAACTCCAAGTTACCGTGTCGTTCCTGTCGATCGAATGGAAAACCTGGCAAGCTTCGTTGATGCTCCCACACCTGCTGTAGAAATCGACCAGGCAGCCGGCTAGAGAAGCGTTGTTTTCCAGTGATTCAGTCCTGCAAATCCCCGCATGGAGTGCCTTCCCGAGCTGGAGAGCTGCTTTGCCTCCGCAAGCCTTGAGAGCAGCACCGTAAGTTCGAGCGTCCGGGGAGATTCTCTCCACCAGGATCATCCGTTCCAGGAGCTCCAGCGCCATCTCGCTCTCGCCACTCTCGGCGTATCCCAGCAGCAGCGAGTTCCAAGTGACGAGAGCGCGCACGGCCATCTTGTCGAAAACTCTGCGAGCGTCCGGCATGGAGTTACACTTGGTGTACATGTCGAGGAGGCTCGTCGTCACATAGATATCGTCCCTCGTGGCAGCTCCGAATGAGTGGATCGCCATTCCAGCCTCCAAAGACGCGATCTTCACAGCTTTCCTATCGACTTCACTGCTCTGTTCCTCCACTGCCATGCTGCTGCACGCCTTGAAAGCAGCGACGAAAGTCCGATCGTTTGGCTTGAATCCTTCGCAAACCATCGCCGAGAAGAGCTCCACTGCTCTTCGTCCATGTCCGTTCTCCGCGTACCCAAGCAGCATCGCATTCCAGGAGATGATATCCCGGCGAGTGATCCTGGAAAACACTCCTACGGCATCGTCCATGCTTCCAAAGTTGGCGTACATGTCACACAGCGATGTCGCTACGAAAGTATCACGGTCGAGGCGACCATTCTTTGCAGCATGCAAGTGAAGAGCAAAGCCTCTCTCCAAACACCTGATCTTCACAGCCTTTCCATCACCACCGAGTATCTTCTTCTCTTCCCTGGCAGAGATCTTCGTGCATGACTTTACCGCAGCAACGTAAGCTCTGGAATCCGCGCAAACGTTTCTCTCTCCCACCATTCTCTCGAAAAGCTCCAGCCCAGCCTCGCCATCTCCACTCTCGGCATGGCCGAGGATCAGCGAAGTCCACGACACGATATCTGGATTCTCCATCCGGAAGAACACTCGCGAGGAGTCCACCACGCTGCCACACCTCGCGTACATGTCGATCAAAACATTGGCCACGAACTTATCTCTCACGTCCAAGTAAGATCTCGCTGCTCGAGCGTGAAGCTCCATGCCAATCTCCAGCGCTCTCGCCTTGACAGCCACTCCATCCAGCTCCAACTCCATCGCTGGATCTCCCGCCGCCAATGCCAGACACGCCTTGATCGCTGCCACAAAAGTCCTGGCATCTGGCTCGCATTCCATCCGCGAGAAGAGCTCCAGCGCGATCTCTCCCTGGGCATTGGTGGCATAGGCGAGAATGAGAGCGTTCCAGACGGCGGCATCGAGGTCATGGCGAGGGATCCTGTCAAAGAGGGCGCGGGCATCAGCCACATTTCCTTGCTTTGCAAGCCTACTGATCGATCTGCTTGCCTGGAAGAGCTGATTCTTGTGGAGCTCGCGCCGGCGATTCGACTCGTCCTCCGGGAGCTGGAGATGGCGGTGACGCCGCGCTGCTACCGCCATGTCCATAAGCCCTAAACGTGAGAATAAAACTGTGAAACGCAAACTCCAATCGATCTAGCAATATCCATTCCATCCCTTTGGGAGAATACAAGCAAAGTAATAAAAAAACCATAGGAGACTTTACTATTTTCCAGTGAGCCGAAAGAACCCCATTGTTCTCCACGTGCTTTAGTGTTCCTATTTGGTCAAACTTCTGGAACTTTAAAGTTGAAAGCTTATATAGAAAGTGAGCCAAGAATGCTACAAGCAAACGTGATTGATAAACCAAAAATTTTCCATTGATCCAGACACCAAACCAACAGGCCAACTTGAAACACGAATAAATCGTTGAAATGCTTTGGGCTGCCACATCATACCATCTAGTGGGATCTAGCCGCAAGCAAAATCGCGATGAAATTTTACACTGACCATGCTACGGCCGATCTAGCGGAATGAAAGCGCTCCGGTTTCCGAAAGAATGCGCGCTGCTAAAGCGCCGCTTTCCGGAAGATAGAGAGAGAGAGAGAGAGAGAGAGAGAGAGAGAGAGAGAGAGAGAGAGAGAGATTTAGGTTTAGCGCCAAGGCATATACCCCGATTTAAAACTGACTAAGGCTTACCAGATCCTAGGGTTTTGAGTGGGGATGGGCTACTCGACGCAGCCATGGCGCAGCAGCAAGATAGGGCTGCTGGAATTCGTGGACGTCTCAGGCAGGATGATGGAGAATTTTCTTCTTCCAGGGGATGAGAGCCAGAGTGACAGGGAGTACCTGGAGGTCAATCTTGCCCACGCGGGTTTGGGCGGGCGGCAAGCAGCGGAGGCGCGGCAGCTGCTCGACGCGGTGGATTTTGCCAGGGACAAGAGATCGAGCATCGAAATGGGCGATCTGGTGGAGATCCAGCGCCGCGTGGTGGGGAGATCAAGCGAGGGATTGCCATGGCTTGTGAGTTGGCTTGTGAGGTGGGCTTTCCCAGATTTTAGGAGCAACGAGGCCCGTGACGAGCTGCGCGACGCAATCCTTCCCAAGCTCAACGCGCGCCTTGCCCAGTCGCAAGACCCTCTCGAGCGAGTCAAGGCGGCGGCATGGTTTTCTAAGTGCTTGACGAGCCTGCGGCCCTTTGTCGATGGAAGCGCTCGCGTTGGCGAGGTGGTAGTGTCGATCATCCTCAAGGATTGGGCTCCTTTTCCTCTCAGGATACACGATCGTGGATGGCTGCGCGAGCAATCAATTCCAAGGGATGGTATTGGAGAAGAGGAGCTTGCAGCCTTGATCCTCCAGCGGGCCTTGGCTCGCGCCAAGAGAGATGGAGGAGAGGCATAATCGATATGTTCTTCCTTTGTCATGGCTTTCAATTCTCTCGAGATCTTTGAACGTGAATCTTTTAAACTTGCCTAGAATATCCCAATCGTCCGCTACTTGTGGTTCCGGATGGAGAATCCAGATATCGTGTCGTGGACTTCCCTGATCCTAGGCCATGCCGTGGAGATGGCGAGGCTGGGTTGGAGCTTTTCGATGGTGGCGGAGAGAAACGTTTGCGCGGATTCCAGATGGTAAAGTCAGATCTCCGCCAGGGAAGAGAAGAAGAAACTCGGTGGTGATGGAAAGGCTGTGAAGATCAGGTGTTTGGAGAGAGGCTTTTCTCTTCATTCTCACGCTGCGAAGAAAAAATAGCGACATCGCTACGCAATGCGCTGCTGGGATACACGCAGAACAGACAGGGACGAAGAGCAGTGGAGCTCTTCTCGGCGATGGTTTGCGAAGGATTCAAGCCAAACGGTCGGACTTTTGTCGCTGCTTTCAAGGCGTGCAGCAGCATGACAGTGGAGGAACAGAGCAGCGAATTTGATAAGAAAGCTGTGAAGATCGCGGCTTTGGAGACTGGCATGGCGATCCACTCATTTGGCGCTAAGACGAGGGACGACATCTACGTGACGACGAGCCTTCTCTCGATAAGATGGCCGTGCAACTTGCAACTCCGAGAGAGTGGCGAGAGCGAGATGGCACTGGAGCTCCTGGAACGGATGATCCTGATCGAGAGAATCTCCGCAGAGGCTCGAACTTACGGATGCTGCTCTCATAGCCCGACGATATCATGTTTCTATCAGTGATATCGAGCTGTGGATACGCGGGGCTCGTCGAGAAAGGCATGGAATACTTCCAAGTTATGAGCCGAATTATGGCATTCAACCGGGACTGGAACACACTAACACTGCGTGATCGATTTACTGGAGCGTCCCACATTCCCAAGCAAGTTAGCCATGAGAAACCACCAGGGACCCAAATGCTAGCTTTGCCACTCTCAAGTTCTTCCACTGGCAGCCCGCGGCTAGCACCGTCGTCCATGTCAATCCAGTCGGCCTCACAGGTATGGAATCCACCATCGCCGCCGCTTCCTCCAGCCGGTTTGGAAGGATCGCCTCTCTTGCGCGAGTGAGAGGAGAAAACAAACTCATGGAAACTATGGAAAGGTTTTCATAGCAACCGTGATGAATGCCGGTTGAATGACAGACACCTCTGGGGCAAGATAGAGACGACCACCCAACAGGACATGAATGAAGAATGCGATTTTAGAAGATCAAGACGCTGCAAAAATACCCAAAAACTATTGGAACGCTGGTCTACTTTGTATATGTCCGAGATCGTCCTAGGCTCGAGAGCGGAAATGATTGACAATACACATTTATGTTTATATGATGATAACTTTATTCTAATGCCTATATCCTGCCATCAACTTCTGTGTTTGTAGACCTCTTCTGGTAAGCCTGTCCTTCGCAGCGTCTGTGACTCTTTTCCAAACCCTTCCAACGCACCACCTTTGCACAGTCATTGGCAATGCTTGACAAAGACCTTGGAAACATAAACAGCTGCACAATCACATCCGAGTAGTCACGGTCTCTGAAACATTCAAGGCTCTCTAAATTCTCTGGAAACTTCCTCCGGAAAGCTTTTGGGTAGTGGAGAGGAAGAGCGGATGGTTGTCGCCGTAGAAATCAACTTTTATTTCCACTCGGAGTGGAATCAATGACTTGAACCAGATGATGGAAGCCGACAGGAGATACGTGCTACTTGACAGCCAGGAGCGCGTGAGAGACTACTGCAGTCCGTATCACAGGAGGTTGCACATCGAGGTAGGCGAGCGAGACAATTTCAAGGGTGGTGCATGGGTTCCATATTACGATTATCTGCTGAAGAATCCCAAGGGTTGGCGGACCACGGTGGTATATGGTTGTAGGATGTTTAAGGCAGCATCAGAATCGAACCCTTTTTTTCTCCTCCCAAGTATGCAGCTTGGATTGGCGACCTTCGGAACAAGGTCGTGGATGGAATTTTCTTCCTTCCGTTGGTGTGGAACTTGCATGCTATGACAGGGCTGTTGCTTCCAGGGATTCACAGGGCAAGCTGCATTTCTTTGCTCTACAGGCTACAACGAATGAGAAATCCCACAGGCCCAGTGTTGGGGAGTTCATGAATCTTGGAGTGGTGGAGAAATGGATATCTTTTGAGGACAAGTCATCGGGATGGCAGCCCAAGCACGACTGGACATAGCATTATACATTGTCTGCTTGAACCAGTCCAGATTCGGTGATTTTGCGTATTCCAAATGGGACATACTTTGGCATGGCTGGATATACAGTTCCTTTTCAGGACGCTTTTCGCCACAGCCTCCATCATGGCCTCCAAGAGACGCTCAAGCAAGTCACAATGAAGTAAAGAGCCTTCAAATGGCATCTGCCAAAAGAGCAGCAGTAATATGAGTTCTTGTGTCACTATTGGAGGACAAAGAACTTGTAATATTACAACAGAAAGAAACACAGACATATCTCAGTGAGAGTATTTTGAGCAAGACAGGGCTCCACAGGGAGATTGGGGACAAAAACATCCTTGGGTTGTTGGAGAAGAGCTGGAGAAGAGATGAATTGCTCAGCAAACTCAATTTTATGAGGGAAATCAGAAAAATGACCAGCTAACTTTGACTTGACCAGATTAATGACGTGGACACCACGACCTTGGGTCAGCACACGACGATATAATGGCCTCTCAAATCGTCGTCATGGTCACGGCAAAGATCATGGCGCTGCTCCAATTCCTCTTCCTCTCTCTCCTCCCGCTCGCGCTCGCATACGATCGAATGCCTCTGGGATCGTCCCTGCTCACCACTGAATCTCTCATTTCGGCAAATGGCAGAGTGAAGCTCGAGTTTTTCTCCCCAACCGGAGGCAACAGCAGTGATCTCTACTTAGGCATCTCCTTCAACACCAGAACCAGAGAATTCATGGAATTCATCCCCATCTGGATTGCAAACCGCGACACTCCAGTGACTTCCAACGCCTCGCTCCTCCTCACTAGCAAAGGGGAGCTCCAAATCATCGATAGGGGAAGTATCATATGGTCTGGCGCTCCCAGCTCCAGCAACTCGGGAATCACCCAAGCGGTGCTCCTAGATTCGGGCAACTTCGTCCTCACTGACAACTCCTTCGATCCTAGAGACGATAACGCGGCGTATCCCTGGCAGAGCTTCGATCACCCGGCGGATGCCTGGGTCCCGAGGATGAAGGTGTCCCTGAGAACCAACCTCACAGCCTGGATCTCGAAAGTCTCTCCAGCTCGCGGGCGATTCGTCATGACAATGAGAACCTCTAACGAATTCGTCATCTCCCCCACGAATGATACGTCGCGGGAGTACTGGACGTCCGGTGCTTGGAACGGCAAGATCTTCTCGCTGGTACCGCAGATGACCGACAACTATCTCTACACGTTCATCTTCAACGCCACCAATCCTCCATCCTTCACTTGGTTCGAGAAGAGCTTCCAGCACTCCATCTTTCGCCTCGGGCACGATGGAAGGATTGAGGTGAAGCAGCTGGATGGAAACGGAAACTGGTACACCCCCTGGGCCGTCCCGGCTAACATCTGCGACGTGACTTCTCTCTGCGGATCAAACTCGGTTTGCTCGAGCAGCTTGAATCCACCCTGTAGTTGTCCCACTGGATCGAGCCCGAGCAACGACACTAACTGGAGAACCGAGGACTGGGCCGAAGGCTGCACCGCTCTCTCGAGCCAAGCACGGAGAAGTTCTTCCAAGAACTCGGGAGTTGCCATCGGAGTCGGAGCTGGCATCGTGCTGTTGCTGCTGGCAGGACTAGCGGCGTTTGTGATCGCCAGGAGAAGACGCAAGGCCAAGAGAGTGAGCTCCAGCAGTGGCAGCAGTAAGAGCGATCAAAGGTCCATCTATAACTTTGTTGACGGCGAGCTCGCCAATTTCACGTTCAAGCAGCTCCATGCAGCAACCGATGGTTTCAAGAAGCGTCTCGGGAGTGGCGGCTTTGGAGAAGTTTTTAAAGGGAGCATCCAAGGCCAGGCCGTGGCTGTCAAAAGGCTGATCAAGTTCGATGACAAGCAGTTTCGAGCGGAGGTGAGCACCCTTGGCACCGTTCAACACATCGACCTCGTCCGGCTTCGAGGATTCTGTGCCGAGGGAAGGCTCCAGAGGCTTCTGGTGTACGAGTTCATCGAGAGAGGATCGCTGGACAGGACCCTCTTCAACCGAGATGCTGAAAACTCTGTCGTGCTCAGCTGGAGCCAAAGGTTCGGGATTGCTCTCGGGACGGCCAAGGGACTGGCATACCTTCACGAGGATTGTCGACACCGGATCATCCACTGCGATATCAAGCCAGAGAACATCCTCCTGGACGCCGAGATGAAACCCAAAATCGCCGACTTTGGCCTGGCCAAGCTTCTGGGACGAGAGTTTAGCCGAGTTGTGACGAGCATGAGAGGAACCCGCGGCTACCTTGCACCAGAGTGGCTGTCAAACATGCCCATCACCCCCAAAGCCGACGTCTACAGCTACGGTATGACGCTGCTCGAGATCATCAGCGGCCGCAGGAACATCGACTTCCGAAACGACCAGATCTTCTTCTATCCCCTCTGGGCTGCTGAGCAAGTTTGTAACGGTGAGTTCTCGAAGTTGCCGGATGATCGTCTCGACGAGTGGGATGAAGAAGAGCTACGCCGGGCTGCCAGAACTGCTATCTGGTGCGTGCAAGACGAGGAGATCAATCGGCCCAGCATGAAAACCGTGGTGCAAATGCTCGAAGGAAGTGCGACTGACTTTCCAGACCCTGTGAAGCCGAGCTCGTTTGAGATGTGGCTTGAGTTTCAAGAACAAAGTGGCTGACAAGCGTAGTGGCATGGATTAAGAAAGAAGTCAGATCAGCGATTTCTTTTGGAATCTCGGTTGGATTTTCCAGCCAGGAAACCCACCAAACGGAAGACCAGAAAAGCAAAAGAATTAGTAAAGGAACTCGTATTGCTGTAGTAGCCCTGATTGAAGGAAGAAGTCGTGCTCGAGAGATCTTCCTAGAATGCGGCCGCCATTTGAGACGACCCAAGCGGC